GGGCCGTTTTGGCCTGCACAGAGCCCATCTTGAACCGTCTTGGCGCCCTATAAGTTTTGGTAGGTTTCTGAGCCCCGGGAGGGGGGGGCCACTTTGGTCCGGTGGTGTGGCGCAGCTCCCAGGGGGGGGTAGGGGGGGAGACATAATAATGTAAAACAATACAACATGTGGCAAGTATGCAATAATTGGATAAATTGGATACGTTGCAGTAAGGCGTTCGCCGGAAAACGCTGCCGCTCAGCACGTCACCTCCGGACGTGGATTATTTGGCTTACGCCGCACCGCCGACCCCTTGGGGGAGAGTCGCTGTTGCTGCTTCTGGGTGCCGCGTGATTTATGCTTGTATTTTTATCGAAGACGCCTACGGCGAATCACCGCCGCCCCCTGCCTTTTTGGAAACGCCGATGTGGCCGGAAGTTGGACTAGAGCTTGGCCAAGCTATCGGACCATGAGTTCCCCGAGTCGGTTTGGAAAGCTTTCGGGGAACACATGGGAGAGAATGATTATGAACAGGAAGAGGAAGAGGAAGAAATAGAGTAGGAGGATGAGGGTTGTTAGGAGTCTCTTGGGGCACCCTTGGGGTCTGTTGGGGGCTTCTTGGGGGCCTCTTCGAGGCCTCTTGGAGGCATCTTGGGGGCCTCCTTGGGCCTCTTGGGGGCCTTTGGGGGCTTCCTGGGGGTCTCTTTGGCCGTCTTAGGGCGTTCCTGGTCCGTCTGACGCCGTCTGGAGCCGTCTTGGGGGCCTCTCTGGGCCGTCTTGGGGCCCTCTTGGGGCGCTTCAGGGCCGTCTTGGAGGCCATGTTGGGCGTCTTGGAGGCCTCTTGGGCCGTCTTGGGGCGCTCTTGGGGCCGTCTTGGGGGGCCCTTGGGCCGTCATAGGGCCTTCTTGGAGGCCTCTTGGGCGATCTTGGGGGCCTCTTGGGCCGTCGGAAGGCCGAAAAGAAGAAAACGCAAAAAACCTTCAAAAACCTAAGGAAAACCAATGATTTTGGCCTCTTCGGGCTCTCCTGGAGAACGTCTTGGAGGCCTCTTGGGCCATCTTGGAGGCATCTTGGGGCCATCTTGGCCGTCTTGGAGGGCATCTTGGGCCGTCTTGGAGGCATCTTGGAGCCATCTTACCCGTCTTGGAGGCCATCTTCGCCGTCTTGGAGGCATCTTGGAGGCCATCTTGGCCGTCTTGGAGGCCATCTTGGGCCAAGTTGGGGCAACAAAGGCATTGACAGATGGATTTTCGGAAACTTACGGGTGGCCGGCGGGACGGGCCGAAGCCCACTGGGGAGTTCTTTTGGAAAAAGAACCAAAACCAAAACCTGAAACGTCCAGCACGCCGTGCACCCCTGTGGCAAGACCACAGGGGGCGGCGGATCTAGTGGCCTTCGGTCCATCCCGCCACCATGCCTGGGTTGTGGTTCAGAGGCCTCTTGGATGTTCGTTCGGATCTCGTGAGAAGCCTCTCGGGGGCCTGCCCGAGTCGGTTTGGAGGCCTCTGAGGGGCTGTTTGGGGGCCTCTTGGGGCCTCTTTTGAGCCTTTTGGTGGTCTCTTGGGGGCCTCTTGGAGCCCCTTGGAGGCCTCTTGGTGCCTCCCGGAGGCCTCTTGGGGCGGAAAGTTAGAATTTTCGGTTCGTGGTACACTTCTGGGGCCCTTCTTGGGCCCCTCTTGGGGCCCTCTTGGGGCCCTCTTGGGCTGTCTTGGGGCCCTCTTGAGGCTTCTTGGGGGCCTCTTGGGCCGTCTTGTGGCGGTCGTGGGGGCCTCTCGGGCCGCCTTCGAGCGTCGGAAGCCGGAAAAGGCGAGAAAGCCAAAAACTTCGAACAACAAAAACATGAAAATCACAGATGTTGGCCTCTCCAGGCCCTCTTGGGGGGCCTCTTCGAAGCCTCTCGGGCGTCTTGCAGGCATCTTATTGGGCCGTCTGGAGGTCATCTTGGGCGTCTTGGGACGATGTTTCGGCGACTCGGGGCCTCTTGGACCGTCTGGGAGGTCTCTTGGCGCCATCGTGGCCCGTTTTGAAGCCCTCGATGCCCTCACGGTAGAATTTCTGGAGCAAAGTACCCCCCGGCCCGGATAGACCCCCCCCTCCTCCAAATCGACCCGATCCGGCTCCCGGGGGAGGGGTTTGGGGAGGGGGAAGCATCTCACACGCCGGTGGAACCCCAAGAGGTCGGCGGATTTCGGTTTCGCTGGCCTTGACCTGTGGCAGGTCAAGGGTGGCACAACTTTCAACAACAGCATGTTGTGCGATGATGTGGTCGAAGCCGATGCGTTCGCCAAGACGTGGCAGGCAGTGAGCGAGGTCGAAATGACGAGGACGAGGCCAAGAAGGCCGACAACGCCGAGGGCGACGACGACGATGACGCCGACGACGAACAAGGCGGAGGCTGAGGAGATAGCGCCGCCGCCTAAGCGTTTGTCGATGGTACTCGTTTGCTGACTACACGTTAGCTGAACTGTTGTCATTGTCGCTTGTCTTGTGCAATATGTGTGCAGGGTTGTGCTTCTGCTTAGCTTAATTCGTGTATTGTCCACCTCGCATGACGTGAGCGGCGCCTTGGGGTCAGTCCTCGAGGGCCCCGAGCGCCAATTCCTCTCCTGGAGTCTGTTGGCTCTATGGGAGGGGCTGCGCTCAGGGGGGCCAGCGCCATAGAGCCTCACGTTCTCTATGTTGTACATGCTCGTGTGGCGTGTAAACACACAGACATGGTTGGCCGCAGACTTGTGGTGGCCCACTGACCCGAGTTTTCTGGACTTCCAATTCATTGCCTTACACGTGTGCTGTCCAGGGAGTTCACGTGGAAGTTGAACGAATGAATCATCATCATCAGCACCATCGTCATCACCGTCATCACCCTCGCCCCCTTTCATCCTCATCCCCCTCCTCGTCCTCAGCACCAGCAGCATCGCCATCATTCACTTTTCCTTCTCTTCCGCGTCGTTGTCCTCCTCCTCCTCCTCCTCCTCCTCCTCCTCCTCCTCCTCCTCTTCCTCCTCCTCGTCCTCCTCCTCTTCCTCCTCATCCTCCTCCCCCGACGCTCTGCCTTCACCACGACGTCATCCACTTCCTCCTCCGCTCCCTCCTCCTCATCCTTCTCCTCTCCCGCCGCCTCGTCTTCATCCGCCTCCGTTCTGGTGGGCCGTCAGGCGAAGCTGGGCCGCCGCAAGCCTAGACCCGTGGATCCCCCGCAGCATCGGTCGTTTTTCGTCCAGTCCCATGTCCTCGTCCGCCTCCACTCCAGGGGGGCACCACAAGCGTTGACTAAGACGCGGAGGGCCACCCCCATGCACGGCCGGATCTCGCGCAGGCAAGCCCCGACGCGCTCAACGTGGTCCCCATCATGTGCGCAAAATGGCCCGACAGCTGCGCCACACTTATGCAAGTGACAGCGATCTCAAGACGCGCACGTCCCACGTCCTGGCCATCGCATTGCTATGGTGTTGGTTTTCCACCGCACGTGCATTACCAGCACTGACATGTTGTAGGTGGTAAAACTTTCGTTGTAGCTATACCGCAGTGGCTCCGTTGTGACGAAGTCGCAACTAATACCTCTAGCATAACACGCGCACACCATGCTCATAAGCACGTTTACGTCATAGTTGGTTCGCATGTGTTGCCAATTCACTGGTTGGCACCCCGTCCGTGCCGTTTTGTCGACACGTACGCAGCTAGGCCACACCATCGGTGTTTGAGAAACATGTTCGCTTCGCGTCGACTCCGACATGTGTGCGTCAAGGGCATTGCACAATTTCTTTGAATAACCGCCTGTGTACATCTTGTGCGGCGACACAATGCAATGCCATCGATTCCTCAAGCGTGACCCATCGCTAACCATTGCAGCCACGTAGAGCGGTCACCGAAGCTCACCACAACAGCATGCATAACGATGCATTGATAATGCGCCTCGTTTGCTCCCATTGTGATGGTGCGCCGCAGACTTCACGCACTTCAAGTCTAGTCTTGACGTGTGACGTTGAGGGATCCTGCGCGGAAGCGAAAAGAGTCGAGCACCATCACGTCACGCATTGAGGCGGGCGTCGTTGGTCTTGCTCCGACGGCAACTCCGCCGGTACTTGCTTGTGGCAAGGGGCAGGAGTCTCTGTATCATGCGATGCTCGATCGAGCGAACATGTACAGCGTAGCGGGTTTAGCCATTCACCCCGCCAGGGCGTCTACGACATGCTCGAGAAGGGCGGCAGCAAGATCCTGCCTGTGGCGCTCGCGAGCCACCCGGCATCTCTTGCTCCCTGGTTTTCATCGTTCTCTGCTTCCTCCATCTCTTCGTCACCGTTGCCTTAGCATCACCGTGCTCTCTCTCTCTCTCTCTCTATCTCTCTCTGCCCCAGGCCCTGCCTGTGCCTTGCACCCGCGCCCCGCCCATTGCTGCACACCCCTGACGTGGATCGTGAGTTCGGGGCGTCTTGGGTGCCTCTCGGGGTCTCGCGGCGTGTGTTCTCAGGGGTCTCTTGAAGCCCTGAGGCGGTCGCGCATTGGGGTCCTCTTCAAGCCTTTTTGGGCACGCCGTGCAGGACGCGGACGCGAGACCTCCCAAACGCTGCTGTGGGCCTCTTGGAAGGCTTTTGGGAGCATTTAGGGAGCCTCTTGGGGCCTCTTGGAGGTCTCTACGGGACCGGGGGGCATTTTGGAGGTCACTCGGGAGCCTCTGGGGGCTTCATGGGCGCGTCCTGGAGACTTCAGGAGACTTCTGGGAGGTGTCGGGGGCATGTTGGGGCCGCCCCCCTCCACCCAAGAAGGTTCTTCACGACCCGTCGCGGCACCGTTTGGAGCCCTCTTGGGCCTCCTTTGGACTGTATTGAGGCCCTCTTGTGCCGTGTTTGGGGCCGCTCAGCCCAGCAGCCGCCATCTCCGTTGCTCCACCAGCGATTCCCATCCCAGCGGGCTCTTAGACAGCGCGCCGCCGGCGGCGTGGCCCTGGCCCATGGCGCACGGTTTGAGGCGGCGCGCCGTGGCGTGCCCGGGCCGCGCCGCGGCTGCAGGCGCTGCCGCCAGCCATGGAGCCAGTGGTGTGTGTGTCCCGTGCGCTGCGCGCCATCACCCTGGAGGTGTCGGCCACGCGCAGAGGGGGGTAGGGGAGGGGGAAGGCTACTTAGAAGCACCCCTGCTTCTTAGAAGGCGCGGGCCTTGTCTGTAGATGTAGGGCCTGCGCCTTCTAAGAAGCAACCTCCTTCGAAAGAGCCGTCCCCCCTCCCCCTACCCCCCCTGTGCTCGCCATCACCCTGGAGGTGATGCCCGCCTTCCTGCCCTCGAAGTGGCAGGTGGAGTCGCTGCTGCGCGGCAGCTGGCTCGGCGGAGCGTGGGCGCCCGTGGAGGTTTGAAGAAGCTGAAGAAGAAGAAGAAGAAAAAAAAAATCGACATGAGGGGCGGCGCAAGAGGCGCCGCCAGGCCAGCGCAAATCCTTGAAATCCGCGCGGATCTCCGAAAGTGTATGTTTCTATCGCCCCGCTGTCTTGTTCCTCCAGAGGTGGACTGCGCTCACGTGGAGGGCCCCGCGCCCGGGGGTCCAGCGCTGGTCCACGTGACCATATTGGGCCTGCAGCCCGACACAGACTACGAGTTCCGCTTCGTGCACGCCGGAGGCGGCGGTAGCGAGCTCCTGCGGTACGCCTGCCGCACGGCAGGGAGACCGGCCATCCTGGAGGCCCCGTGCTGCTCCGACCCGAAGCCCGACGCAATCACCGTCGAGTGGAGAGTCCCAGAGCCCGAGGGCAAGGACGCCGGCGTGCTGGAGTGCCAGCTGCAGTGCCGCCCAGACGTCTGGTTCAGCAGGCGGAGGGAGGGGTTTCGGGAGAGGGGCAGGAGCGCAAGGAGCAGGCCTCCTCCCCCCTCGAAGGAGACAGAACATCTTGGAACTTCGCGTGGATTTCTTGGATCGGCGCTGGGCCCCACTGGCGGCGCCTCCAGCGCCGCCCCTGGCGCGCTCCGCGCGCCAGGGAAGGGGGTCCAGCGCCGATCTAAGAGGTCCGCGTGGAGCTCTGAAAGTGTATTTGTATGCCCAGGCCTCCCTCCCCCCTCGCTCCCCCTCAGCACATGGTAGTTCAGCAAGCTGGTTCAGGCAAGAAGTTCTTTCGGAGCTCTGTTGCGGTTCCTGTTCCGCTGCCCTTGCCACCAGCAGCTCAACCTGTATTGTGTTTTGTCCAGCCGCAGCGTTCTGCTCACGGATTTCGGCATCTGGGCATCGTTGGCGTGCCTGGGGCCACTCAGAACGCGCCCAGGACGAAGTTGCCTTGGGGGAATGAGGTCGAATCCTCTCTGGCCCGCGGACTGACAAAACCAAGTCGTCGGATGTATGGGAGGGCTGCTGGGAAGTTTGTAGTTTTACATATATATGTGATTATAGAGAATATAATCAGACTGTCCTGGAGGATCCAGGAAATCCTGCAGCCCTTTGTTGCTCGAGGAAAAGAGCGACCCTCACCTCCCCCCTTTCTCCGTGAGGGGGGTGGGTGCACGTGCATGGTAGCGGAGCTCGCTTGAGGTTCGCGGGCCGCTCCGCACCCAGGCGAGCTCCAAGAGCCCCTCGAGAGGGCCCAGCGGCGCGACGCCGCGGGTCCGGCAGCCAGCGGGACGATCCACGCGGCCGCCGAGCAGAGGACCCCTTGCTGGTCAGAGCTGCGGTCAGACCCGCGCTCTGACAGCGGTGGCCAGCCAGCCAACAAGGGCAAGGGCAAGGCCACGCTGAAGGCCAAGAAGCCGAACAAGCGAGGAGGCAGAGCGGCGGACACGCGTGAGCACCGCCAGCTACGAGGGACCGCTTTTAGGAAGCTTGCGGCGTGCGGCAGCAAGGCGAAGCTTACTCAGGAGGAGCGAGCAGCGGTGAAGAGGCAGCTGGCGAGCGACATCGAGAGGCTGGAGAAGCGTGTCACTGACGTGCTCGACACCCAAGATGGAGCAGCAGCTGCAGCAACTGGTCGATCAAGTTCAGAGGCTGACGACGGAGAGTCAGAACATGAGGCAGGAGCTTCAGAACAGGGACGTGCAGATCGCAGAGATGAGAGGACAACTGCAGGGTCAGCAGCAGGCTCAGCAGCAGGCTCAGCAGCAGCGGGTAGCCCCGCGCGGCGAGATGATGGATCCGAAGATCCTTCACAAGGTGAAGCCGTTCGACGGCCAAAGGTCAAGCTGGAAGACGTTCAGCTTCCAGTACAGAGCGTACCTGATCGCCCAGGATCGGAGGTACCGAGATCTTCTGGAAAGGTGCGAGGACGGAGCCCAGGAGGTGGACAACGTCAACCTGGACCCGCAGGAGGAAGAACTCAGCACGCAGTTGTACTACGGCCTGGTCCTGGCCATGCCCGAGGACTCGGTGGGCGAGCTGATCGTGAGGAACAGCCCAGTAGGAGAAGGAGCCGAGTGTTGGAGGAAGCTTCAGAAGGAGTACAACCCGAGCGAGGCAGGCAACGTGCTGGCGATGTGGACCAAGCTCACGGACACGAAGTTCGACACCAAGGAAGACGTGATGGTGAGCATCAGCAAGCTGGACGAGGACATGGCGAGGTACCAGAAGATGGCAGGAGAGCCCGTCTCGGACCTGATCAAGCGCGGCATCCTCACAAAGGCGCTGAAGGATCACGACGAGCTCCAGAAGCACGTGTTTCGGAACAGCAGTCGGTTAAGTACGTACGAGCTTCTGAGAGCCGAGGTGGTGTCGGCGTTGGCGGCAGAGCGAGCGGTTCAGGACGACCCGATGGAGATCGGAGCGCTGAAGGGCGGAAAGAGACCGTGGAAAGGCCGCGGCAAAGGGAAAGACGGAAAAGGCAAGGAGAAGCCACCGAATCCCGACGCCGAGATCGAGTGCCACTACTGCCACAAGAAGGGTCACCGCAGCGCAAACTGCCGAAAGCGGATCGCCGACGAGAAGAAGACACCCGAGAAGGACAAGAAGGACAAGAAGCAGTTCCGAAAAGAAAAGGCAAAAGAAAAGAAGAAGATCGGGGCAGCGGCAGTCAGGGAGCTCGAAAGGTTACGACAGACAGGAGTGGGCACAGGATCAAGCTCGACAGCACCGACACAACAGATGCTAGGAAGTCAGGGAAGCGCCGACAGCGCGATGACTCAGCAGGTGCTGCGCCCAGTCAACTGTGCGCTGCGAGCGAAGATGATTCTTGCCCTGAGGGCAGAGGTCACAAGAAGCGCAGCCACACGATCGACTGGAAGTACTGCTTGCCTAGCTACTACCAATATGTGTGCTGCTCTTGCAAGAAGACCTTTGAAGGACGGCGATGGCACTACGATCAGTGGAAGCTGGACTACTGTGCCGTGTGTGCCGAGTACTGCCTGGACGGCCTCAAGGACGGGGAAGAGACAGACGACGACAAGAAGCCAAAGAAGCGCAAGAAAGGCTAGATTCGTCGCTGACGACCGTCAGTGCTGCGATATGCCAGCTGCGGTGAGCCCCGCGCTGGCCGGACCCAGGCCTGTTACCATCGCTGGTCTTCGGCCCGTGGATGAAGATCAGAGCCCTGCGGATGACCGATTGCGGTTAGCCCCGCTTCGGAATGCGATCATGCTCGATTCAGGTGCGCAGATCAGTGCGATACCGAGGTCACAGGTGACCAAGCACAACTACACGCCGACGGACAGCAACGTTGTCGGCTTGAAGGGCATAGGAGGCGAGGAGATCGAGAGGTACGGCCACGTGGAGCTGAACCTATCCCGAGGAGGAGAGGTTATTCAAGTCGGTGCTGAGGTTGCCGATGTGGAGTACCCAGTTGTGGCTACAGACGCTGTAGTACAACGTGGTCAGAGTGTTCTTCATAGCCCTGCAGGTCACTGGATCATCAACGGTACCATCGAGCCACCTGATGGAGCTGAGTTCGTACCTCTACGTCGTCACCAAGGCAACTACTACTTAGAGTACGATCACATCATCGACGGCCAGACTCAACCAGAAGCTTCAAAGGTAGCTGCGGTACGAAAGACACTACCAAGGAAGGTACCAGCTGAACAGGAAGCTGGAGCTTTGCCGAAGGTTCTAGGTCCCGAAGCTGATGAGACCACAACTGTGCCAACGAGAGTGTTGAAGACTCCTCACCAACCTAGTGCTGCGGAGAGAGCCGCGCACGAAGGGCATCATCTACCTTTTCGACCTTGGTGTCCCATCTGCGTGCAGGCTCGAGCAGACGATGACCCCCACCACGCTCAGGAACCAGCTGATGAGAACAAGATCCCGAAGGTGGTGTTCGACATCTTTTACGTAGGGACGGACCAGCTGGCTGCGAAGTACAAGCTTAAAGGAGGTTACTTCAGCATCAGGGAGAAGACGTCGGTCACGAAGGCCGAGTTAGACCAAGCGGTCTCTGTCTTGAATGTTATCGACTGTAAGATCTTGGCTCAGGCGACGTTGTACGCGAACAAGGAGACGGATGACTACAAGGTGTCCTTCCTGCTAGGCGTGCTGGAAGCTTGGGGTCACACAACAGTCATACTTCAGACAGACCAGGAGCCTGCCACCATGGCTCTGGCGCAGGCAGTTCGAGATCGCAGATCACACTCAACCTTGGTGCGGGGATCACCGCCCTTTTCCAAGCAGAGTGCAGGCTACGCTGAAGGAGGTAACAAGCTAGCTGCTGGTCTACTTCGAGCCTACAAGCTGAAGCTGGAGCACAAGCTGGGCAGCGAGATCAAGATGACGGATCCGATCGTGCCATGGCTTGTGAACTCAGTGGGGTGGATGATCACCAGATTCCAGCCTCGCAGTCACGGAGGTTCCTCCTACAAGATGCTCTACGGCAAAGAGTACAACGGCGAGATTGCGGAGATGGGTGAGCAGGTCTGGTATCGGATCTCAGCCCGAGTTGCCGCGGGACGTGGCAAATGGGAAGCCCGCTTCGCAAAAGGAATCTGGGTTGGTAAGAGCGAGCTGGACGACACACATCTCGTGATCGATCCTGAACGTGGAGTGCAGAAGGTGAGAACGGTGCGAAGGATGCCTGAGGAGTTCAGGTGGCAGCCCGAGCTCATCCAGCACATCAGGGTGACGCCCTGGAAGCAGACGCCCGACAAGAGTTCAGGAACGATCGGACGCAGCATGTACATCACGGAGCGCATGATCGATGCTCATGGTCCTACCGACGATTGCAGGAAGTGCAGTACAGGATACGGTTCGCATTCGGCAGCCTGCCGACAGCGTTTCGAGACCATTCAGGCCGACTTGCTGCGCGAGAAGTTGGCGAAGGACCCTGTGGCCCCTGAGGCTACAGTCGTGGTGCCAGCGCCGGCTGCGGGAAGCCCCGCGCCTGGAGCCGCACCCGGAGGAGCAGCGGCATCAAGCAGCAGTGAGGTTGCGGTGAGCCCCGCACCTGCTGCCAGTGACGTAGCTATGGTTCCTGGCCCAGGAGAGGCTGAGGTGCAGACAGCCATGGACACGGAGAGTGGAGAGCTCAGGAGCGACTTTCGGCGAAGCGCCCCAGGTGAAGTTCGTGAAGGAGCTGAGGTCAAGAAGCCCAGGGTAGCAAGCATTGGGCATCTCTCTGTCTGTGAGTTGGCAGTCTGCGAGGAGGGCTACGACGAGAGCTTCGACCCCATGTGGGATCCACAACCAAAGCGCAGTGCGAGATGTTCCGAGAGGTGTGAGAAGCACTCATCACGATGCCAGCTACGAGAATGCCACCAAGCTGAGTGTGCATGCAGGAGATGTTTGATGAGCCACATCGGCACAATCAGGAGCCACTTCGGAGATCCTGAGGAGCAGCAGGTGGAGCAGATGGTTGAGGTGAGCGCCGAGCTGCATGAGAAAGACCAGTGGAGCCCAAAGACGATACACTACGATTACTACACTGGAGAGCCTCTGGATGAGGACCTGTATCAGAAGGGTCGCGACGACGAGCTGCAGGCCATGAAGGACTATGGGGTCTACGTGGAAGTGGCGACATCGACGGCGACCGACGGCAAGCACATTGGAGGGTTCCCGATAGCCCACATGAAAGAAGGAAAGGTCAGGTGGAGGTTCGTAGCAACCGAGGTGAACAAGTACGAGGTCAGGGAGGACAACCACCAAGGCACGCCCCCGCTCATGATCGTCAGAGCGACGCTGAGCCGTGCCGCTTCAAGTCCAACTTCCAGCGGGCAGCACCTGCGGAAGATACAAGTCTGGGACGTCAGGAAGGCTTTCTTCAACGCTGACTTAGACGAGACGATCTACGTGCATCCTGGGAGAGAGCTGTGTCCGCCTGGAAGGTGCTGGTGGTTACGCAAGGCCATGAACGGTACCAGGAAGGCGTCGCAGATGTGGGGTGAGCTTGTGAGAACTACTATGGACGACGGCCATTGGGAATGCTTGGTTGGAACTCCTAACGTGTTCTACTTACCTGCTAGCCCCAACACAGCCCCCTTCGACGAGGATAGCACAGCGATCTGTCATGGCGATGACTTTCTTGCTGAGGGCTACGACGAGCAGCTGGACGAGCTGGACGAGTTGTTGAAGCAGCAGTTTGAGGTCACGGCCAGCGCCAGACTTGGACCAGGAGCGGTGGGGCAGACTACATACCTCAAGAGGACGATCGGCTACACCGACAAGTTGCCAGGTTGCGAGGAGCCAGGTTTCTTCTGGACTGCCGATCCTAAGCATGTGGACTTCATGATCAAGTGGACGCAGAAGCGAGGTTGTAAACCAGCTCCCACTCCAGGGACGAAAGCTACAGGACAAGGCCGACGAGACAGCCTAGACCTTCTTTCCAAGGATCGTGCTCGAGAAGTGGCGGGTGCAGCTGGCACCGCTCTTTACCTTTCTTCGGACAGGCCCGACACGATGTACGCCAGCAAGACAGCGATGCAGCACGTCTCCAACCCGAACGTCTTGATGCATGCGCGTGTTCAGCGACTTGGAAGGTACTACGAAGGACAGCCTGTGTTGGTCTGGTGTTACCCACTTCAAGGTACTCCTGAAGGCATTCGTGTAGATGGTGACGCAGATTGGGCACCTACGAGTGAACTACAGCGGCGATCTACCAGTGGAGGAGCTGTGAGGTATGGTGATCACACTTGGGACTGCTACTCAGTGACGCAGAGTACGATAGCCCTAAGTTCAGGGGAATCCGAGATGTACGCTACGGGAAGTGCGACAGCCAGAGGACTTCAGTGTAAGACGTACCTGATCGAGACCCAGAGGCCCTGCAACCTGAAGATCTATAGTGACAGCACAGCTGGACGTGGCATGTGCAGTCGAGTTGGGGTGGGCAAGGTCAGGCACCTGGAGTTGAGGTACTTGTGGATTCAGGAGCGGTTGCGTCTCAAGGCGTTCGAGCTGCACAAGGAGGACACCAGCAAGATGACAGCCGACATGCTCACGAAGTACAGCGAGTGGCCGACAATCGAGAAGCATTGCACCACTCTCAACCTCAGGTTCGGAAAGCAGTTGAAGGGCTTGAGCGCAATGGCAGTTTTCACGGAGGTCGTGACGCAGGCGTCAGGCGAGAAGGTGACAGTGTACGGAGGTTCTGACGAGGTTGCGGTTTGCCCCGCGCCTGTCAGCCACTACGTGGACAGCGAGGAGTTCTGGTTCTTCCTGAAGTTGGGACTAGTTGTGGTGACTGCAGCCAGTGCTTTCTTACTGGGGTGCTGGTGTGGTTGTTACTTCAAGGACTTCTACGACAAGTTCCTCCTCCAGGGTGCGGTTGACCCCGCCTCTGGAAGCACGTGTATACCATCTGCGCGGGCTGAGGCCGAGTTCAAGACCGTGTGTGTACAGCAGGACAAAGGAGCAAGGCACAAGCTCTTAAGCACGTTTCTTGTAGCTGAGCTGCGAGCTGTCTTGAAGGCCAAGAGCCTGGCCGTGTCAGGGATCAAGGAGGACCTGGTCACGAGGATGATCAAGCACGGATGCGTTCTGTCGGATCGCCAGGCCAAGGAGATCGAGCAGCTGCGAGTGATGGCTACAGCGCGAGGACCTCTTACCAAGCTCAGCTTGCAGGACATCAGCAGTCCAGAGGCCGCGCAGAAGTGGATCGAGACGTTCAAGAGCGAGTGCGGAGACCGTTCCAGAGGCTCTCAGGTGATCCACGGAGAGGGCTAGGAGAATGGTCGCAGGAAGCACTACGACAGCCGAAGGTGAGCTTTCTTTTACAGGCTGCGGTTTGCCCCGCGCCTGCCCTCTGCGGGTAGCCCCGCGATGGGCTTAGGCGGGCAGCGCCGTTGCGAAGCCTGGTCAGGGAGCACAAAGTGGTTTCCCTGTGGCTCACGTTTCTCGACTGGAGGCCGAGCCGCTTCCAGCGCCCAAGGAGAGGTGCTGGGAAGTTTGTAGTTTTACATATATATGTGATTATAGAGAATATAATCAGACTGTCCTGGAGGATCCAGGAAATCCTGCAGCCCTTTGTTGCTCGAGGAAAAGAGCGACCCTCACCTCCCCCCTTTCTCCGTGAGGGGGGTGGGTGCACGTGCAAGGGCGCTGGCCAAAGTTCCGGTTTATTCGAGAATCAACTTGGAGATGATCCTCCCCGCCCCCTCTCTCGCCCCTCCCTTCCTCAGAAATAACGCTAGGGGGGAGTAGGATCAAGGGTGGGCACATAGACCCCCAGTCGCTCATTCATCGCCGATAGTGGCCCGATAGTCCAGACCCGCCCAAAAGCGTGCAGATTCGCCATCGGGAGCCTCTCGTAGACCTATCGGCGATGTATCGCCGATTCCAGCTCGATGTTCCTCTCCCTGAGCCAGTCCCCCCCCCCCTATCGTTGCCCCTTGGAGATGGTCCTACCCGCCCCCTCTCTCGCGGGCGGCGCGCCGAGGAGGGACGGCGGAGGGGGCAGGACTTTCCAGAGGGCTCAGGAGGCCCCCAGTCTCCTGCGACGTTTTCTAGGACATCTCCCATGAAAGAAACGGTTTCTCCGAGGGCTGGAGGGTTTCTGGGAAGCCCCGCAGCCTTCTGAGCAGGCATATCCCCTCTCGGACGCTTGGTGGTTCGGCGGACACAGCTAGGGCTTCCGGCGGCCCTTCGGGACGATCCGGGCACATGTGGAACGTCTTCGGCGAGAGGCACCTTCTGGAAAGCACCCTGAGGCCAGAAAACTTCTGGGAACCGACAAAGGCAGCGGAACACACGTGAGCTTCGCCCCTCGAGCGCGCCTCCGATCTGGTCCCTCCCTTCCCCCTCGCGCGGCAAGCGCTCCTGCGCACGCGAGCCCGTCAGCGCACCATTCGCCCCACCAGCACACGCACGCCCGCCGGACAGCCACAGGGGCACGCAGAGAGATCGGCATCGGGGGCCCATCGCCGCTCCTCTCCAACGATGCATCGCCGATTCCAGCTCGACGCGTCCCCTTCCTGAGCAGGTCCCCGCCTGACGTTGCCCATCGGGGGGCCATGATGCCCCCAAGAGGCCGTTGGCGGCCGCAAGAGGTTCCCAGGAACCTTCCACGAGGCCCCAAAAGTCCCCCGGCGGGACTTTTTGTTATCCTCCTCCTCCTCCTCCTCCTCCTCCTCCTCCTCCTCCTCCTCCTCCTCCTCCTCCTCCTCCTCCTCCTCCTCCTCCTCCTCCTCCTCCTCCTGCTGACGTCCACGCTCTGCCTCCCAGCTTTTCTGGCCCAGAAAGTTCGGGGCTTGTCGGCAGCGAATGTCAGAAGGGCATGGCTGCTGCGAGCCATCGGCTCTCCAGTCTTGACGCTCCCACCTCGGCAGCTGCGATGGCCCCCTTCCACGCCCTGGAGCTCGGTGGGCGCTCCGAAGCGCAGGGTGGCGACGTGGACATGCGGGCCCTGCGGCTGCGGAAGGAATACACGTTGTTCATTTCTAAGTATTCGAAAATTCCTTGATTTTGGGGGGGCCAAGATCCTTTCATATCTAATTGTTCTATCCTGGGCCTCCTCTTGGCCACCTAGGGGGGCCAGGAACAATTAGGAACGAGCACCATTAGAAATGAGCACGATTAGAAATTAACGACGTGCATTTCTATCAGGGTGGCATTGCACGCGCTGTGGAGATCAATGGAATTCGAGTTCGTCACCAGTGTAGCAGAAGGACCAGCAGGCGTTCGCTCATTGGAGTGAAGAGTCGAGTGATGATGGAATGATGTACCTTCAGATCCCTGCCACCCGGGCCGTCCCTCCCTGCCACATCGGTGTCAATTGCCGCAGAGGGCCTTAACAATGCGGAGCTGTAAAGACTGCGCGGGCTGGCCAAGAAGCAGGGCCAGGTGGTGTTTTTCAAGAAGTATGAACGCGAACGAAATGCTGAGCTCTCACGTGAGAAACAGCGAGTGGGGCCGCCCACTCCGCTGCACACCAAGGCGGGCAAGGCCCAGCCCAAGACCAAGCAGTGTGAGACGCGCTAAGAAAAAAAGGAACAGGACAAGTTCAACCAGTGGCATGCTGAGACAGGGACGCCCAAATTAACCATCACAAACTTCGGAGAGGAGCTGCAGAGTCCTGAGAACACCTACAAGGAGCTGGTGTTTCAGATTCGAGCGGAGGTGGAGCCAGATGTCAAGTTGTCCTTGCGCGCCTTGGTGGTGTCGTCCCACACCGTCAACCTCGCCGACGACTCGCTCGATGGGTTGCAAAAGGACTTCAAGATCACGGCCGAGTACCAGAATATGTTCGAGGATCTCAAGATGTTCTTCCAGGGCCAGTTCCGCGAGACAGCGAGGCAGCTCTGCGGCGGTGCGAACAAGGCCACTTCCCCGTGCAAGGCTCATCCCACGAGGCTCGCGCACGAGGATCATCCCACGAGGCTCAGCAAGAAGAAACACAAAACTGGAGTGGGTGCAGCGGCTTTTCCAGTCGGCGATGTTGCGGCAGTTCCACCAGTTCCAGAAGATGGCGGCCAAGGCGAGGTTTCAATTGAGGCTGGAGGTGGAGCCCTGGCCGCGGCAAGCACAGCGCCAGGCGGCCCCGCGTCATCGGCCGCCGCTGCCAGCGCCTCGCGGGCCCCAACCTCGAGAACCAGCCTGAGTTTTGAGGGCGCCTGCAACGGGGCCGAAGGCGATCGATCCCGCCCCCCCCCCCCCCCCCTCAGCTTCAGCGCGACAAGTCGGCCCCAGGGCAGGTAGTGGGCAAGCAGACTCTTCAAGATGAGCCGAACCGACCTCCCCATAGGCAGTTCCTGGGCCCAGGATTCGACCGCCCCTCTCCCCCTGCCAGGTGGGGCGAGCGTTTGCGAGGTTGGTTCGGACGAGGGCCCTGCCATGGGGAACTGCGCTAAGTCGCTCACATGTCTATCCGGGCCCATGGGGCCCCAGGCCCCGGGCCAAGAGAGGACAGATTGAGCTCGAGATACGCACGGCCAAATGCAACTGCCGGGGATTACCGAGCGACTGGCCGCCTTCGGTGGGACATGCGCATATTGGTTTGGTTCAGGAGCATCACCTCGTTGATCCTGATGAGCTCGACATGGCGACTGGAATCTCTCTGGGGACTGGGGGGGGGGCGGGAACCAGCATTGCGACCAGCATGGGGAGGCACCTCAGGAAGAGTTGCCAACCTGGCGAGACAATTCATCGGCCAGCACCCCCCTCGCCCAATGGTTAAGAGGAAAGGGCTACTCTGTGAACCCCACCTGCCAAGTGGGGCACTTTTCTTTGCGGTCTCTAGCAATTGCTTCGACGCCGAAGGAGTAGAACTCAGGCATCTGGTGCTTTTTTTCAAGCATTCGGGTGCGCGTTTGATATTGGAAGTTCTGCCCTTTGTCAGTTTGGCCGACTTTAACTTGAAGCCTCCGGCCGCGAGGGTCTCGGGCCCCCTCAGAACAGCGCCGCGGTGAGATCGAGCGCGCGGAGGCCCTGCATATTTGGGTAGCAAAATCGAAATTTGATTGCGTCATAGTGCCCAGCAGACTGGCGCGCGGCGTCATGAGAATTTGTCAAGACGTGCAGCGAGAGCGAGTGATCTCTCCATTTTGTCGCGGCTGTGGCTTTCCACGTTGCGCTCTGTCGTTCGCGGGCCCTCGGTCTCAGGGGGCCCCCTCTCCCGCCAGCTGACGCCCATCCAGGAATGCCCCCGCCCCCCGGAGATTTCAGCCGAGGCGACGCGCGTTCGTAGCTCCGGGAGAATACTTTGGAATCCAAGGACGTCAATGAGATTTTCCGCTTCATCAGCATGGCCTATCAGGGGTGGGCCAACATTTCGGAGAAGGAACTCACCTCCAGGTGGGACGAGCTCCCCCACAAAGTGGCGAGGGGCAAGGATCCCCGAGCGATCTGGATGCCGACCCTTCAGAAAGAGTTCGGGCACCGCGGATGCCCCGAGCTCCGAGCCCCGCGCTGTCCGCGCGCCGCGCTCAAGGCCATCGCCCCGCCGCTGCCAGAGCTTGCCGAGGGCAAGCTCGCCGACGACACGGTTGCCGCCATGGTCGACGCCGTCGCCAATTCCGGGCGGGCCCCTCAGAATCTTCGCCATTGTGGCAAGCAACAGCGGCATCGGCATACAGCAAGATCCGAATGTAAAAGACCTGCCCAGAGGCTGGGCGTCTTTTTCCCCCGTCCCACACGGCGCTGGACGACGCAGCGAAATATCATTGGCGACGCAACATCAATGGTTTGGATCGCTGTCGCCCCGGGAAGGCGCGGGGCGCGGGCCTCGCGAGGGGCCCGGGGCCCGGCGCGCCCAGCTGGCACGCCTGGGCGCGCGCCGCGCCGGCCCCCTCACGCCTCGCCGCCGTCTGTCCAACGGGCCATGGCAAGGACCGGGGCCCGTCGATTGCACCCAGCAGTCCTCGGGGGGAGGCGGTTTCGGCGCTGTCCTCAGGAACGGTTGTTTTCCCGCGTTCGACCGCCCCCCTGGGCGCGGCGCAAGTTGCAACGGAGCGCCGTCGTCAGAGGAGGGGCGCCGCTGGTTTTAGCTGCCTCGGGCAACCGAGCCCGAGGCGAACGCGACAGGCAGCACCGCTGGCAGCCAGGCGGGGCGCTTGGTCGTTCGAGCCCGACGGCGCCAAGATGCCTGCAGAGGCCCGCGGTGAAAGTGTAGAGAGAGCCTGGCGGCGCGCTTGGCTCGGCGGGCCTGGCAGCGCCCATAGGTCCGCCGAGGCTCGGGGCAGCGCGGAGACTGCCAGGCGGCGCGCATTGTTTGGCGGGCCCTCGTCAGGCCTCATTCAGTTCACTCCCCTTCTGCTGCGCGCTAAGCTGGCGGCCTCGCGGTCGAGGCAGAGACGGGCGCTCGAGGCCGGCAGCGGGCGCTAACAGGGAGTTGCCAGGCAAGCCTGGCACGCGTAGCTCACCGAGAGTTTTTGCCCGCGCGCCCGCAACGCTCGCCCCTTCGTCAAGGGCCCAATAGCGCGGCGCCCCTGCGCGACGCTCTCGGCTGAGGGGCAGATGATTTCGGACCCCCAACGCTCGATCGATGTCGAAGCTAAGACCTCCTCCAGCCGGCGGCAGGTCGGGGCGACACCCAAAAGGCTCAGGGGTCGCCCTCCAGAAGCCCTCTGGGGCATTCCCATCGAAACCATGATAAAGTTGAGCAGGAAGAACCCCATCAGGAGCGCGGTCTCCGACCACGGCCCCCGCCTCGGGCAGCGCCAGCACCGCAACGACGCCAGTCTCGCGACCCCGCGCAGCATCTGCATCTGCTCTCTGCTGGAGAGGTCACGGGTTTTATTTGCTCAGACTTTGGCGGCACCGGTGGCCCACTTGGCGAAGGAAACAAGGGGCCGCCGGCCCATCGGGATTCCCCCCTCGGGCCATCGCCCCCGGCCCAGAGCAGGCCCCCGCTGGCGGAAGCTTGAGGGGGCGAGACATTTCAGAGACTGTTTGGCTGAGGCGGGCATCAAGGAGCTGTGGATCGCGCGCGGCGCCAGACCTTCCGCTCCGAGGCGGGGGTCAGGAAGGGCTAGGCCCCCGCCTCGGTCACGCGAGACATTACAGCAGCATTTCGAGCTGCTGGACTCGCAGGCCCTCGAGGTGAAAGGCGTCAAGCTTAGCTCCCCCCCCGGCGGTCCCGAACGCGCGCCCGGCCGCCCACGGCCCCTCCAGGTGCGACCGTCTCTCGGGCGTCGCGGCGGGGAGCCCTGCTGGCCGCCAGAGAGATCATCGCGGGCTGCAGCATGGCCCCAGCATTCATCACTGAATATTCGCATGCCTCGCTCGCAGCGAATATGTTTGCCAGCTTGGCCGCGCTGCCCAATCGGGCTCGTCCCGCGCGCCGTCGCGGGCACTGCAGCGGACGAAAGTGGCAGCGGGATTCGGCTTCAAAAGACCCCTTCGCCCCAGCGCCACTTGCGGGGCCCCCCTTTCCCCTCCTGCACCCGCCCGAGCGGCGCGGAGGTCGAGGCGCGGCCACAGAGAGACCGCCACTCGCTGTGCTAGCGGCGCAGAGGAGGCGCCGCTGCCCAGCACTCCACCGATACGTACATCAAAAGCTATATCCCGGAATTGTGTTCCGCCGCGTTTCTTCTGAGGGAAGGACTTTTTCGCGTGGCCAGCCCCGCGCCGTGCTCTCCCGCTGCTGAGCACGGTAGTCACCACGGTTCGTTATGTGGTTCTTGTTGTTCAGCTCTGCGGCGAGGTCTTCTGAGAGATGGGCCCTATTGTTCAATCAGGCCTGCCATGCGCGCTGACGCGGGCTCCACAGGCGGCGCAAGTGGCAACGGGGATTGGTGCAGAAGAGACCCTGACGCCACCCACGCTGTCACTCTGCATCCACCCGAGCGGCACAGAGGTCGATGTGCGGCCACAGACAGACAATCACGGTTACGTCGCATCCTCCTTCTGCGACGAGGCGCAGCTGATGGAACACGCCACAAGGCCAGAAACATCCAGGAAATCCAAAAACACTCAGACGATGCAAAGAGTTGATCTTATTCCTGCCCAAGCGATCTGGGAGGTTCGCTTCAGCTTTCCTAACGGCTTATGGCCCCTGAACTTTGAAAACCCAGCCGCTACACGGATGGAGGGCAGGACGTTTTCAAAGTGTGGTTTCGCCTCTGCGCCGCGCATATTTGTTTTAAACGTTTCAAGTGTCACTCTGGCGAAGGGCAGGCCTTGTGATCAAGATGACTTGTCAGTTGAGATATCCTCAGAGCCTGCGGCCCGAAGAGTTAAATTTCGAAGCAACTACCAGGATGGAGGGTGGATCTTGTTCAAAAGTATCTTGGCTTGACACGTCCGCAGAACTTCCACCCCGACGTAAGACAGCGTGCGACACTGAACGGGATGGAAGGCGGGTAATTTTCAAATCGGGCCTGTTCGCTGGACATTCAAAGCGCACGCAATGGTCCCACTTCGTCGCGTCACTCATGGCAGTCCCTTTTCGAAAGGGGGCGCGCCCCGCAGTGAAACGGAGGCGTGCAGGGGCACGTGGGGAGTGCGCTTGGGGACGGTAGGGCGTACAGCGGGCAGCTCTTGCTATAAGAAAATTAGGACCACGTTCGTCGTCGAGCTTTGAGTTTCCTGGGGCGCCCCTGCCCTTCTATGGGCCCCGAGGGCCATCGGGGGATACGAAGTTGTCGTTGGCCTCTGCTGGCAAGCCCGTTCCCTGTTTCTGCATGACAGCATCGTTTATGCATAGTGGGTTTGCTCTGGTCCGCCTCCCCCCCCTCGTCTGCCCGCACGCTCACGCACCACGACTTCGACGGCCGCTCTGCCGACCGCCCCGCGCGCGGGCGGGGAGGCCCCGCAGACTCAACGATGCACGGGCGCCTCGCACCCTTCATTATTTATTCGCTTGTTTACAGTCCCCAGGCTCCTTCTGGACGCCATCCCGACCAATGTCTGGGGTTGTGTCCAGCCGTGGCCCACAAGCAGCCCCCAGAGGGATCCTCATCCTCATCCCTCCTCTTCTCCCCTTCCTCCCCTCCCTCCTTCGCATCCCTCCTGCTCGTCCTCATCATCAGCAGCAGCATTATCATGACCATCATCATCATCATCATCATCATCAGCATCATCATCATCATCATTATCAGCAGCATCATCATTATCATCATCAACATCATGTTCAGCATCATCGTCATCATCAGCAGCAGCAGCATTAGCAGCATCCTCATCCTCATCATCATCAGCAGCATCATCATCGTCGTCCTCATCCTCATCATCATCAGCAGCATGAGCAGCATCATCATCGTAATCCTCATCGGCATCAGCATCATCATCGCCACCATCCTTCTCCCTCCTCCTGCACCCGCTTTCCTTTTCGGTAACTCCCCCCTGCCAGACCACCTTACGTGTCCGTAGGCCGGTCTGGGCGTTTCGCCTGAGACGTCCGAGCGGCTCAACATCCCGAAGCATGTAGATCTGCCGGAGCTACAGTGATGCAGGGCCAGGCGTTCTCAAAATTGATTTGCTTCAGCGCCTCACGCAATCGTTTGAAAAACCTGCAACGGTCAGGATGGAAGACCAGCCGCTTACAAAACGGGGCTCTCGTTATGGCGCCGCGCACATTCGTCTGAAGAGCTTGCAGCAGCTACGAGGCTCTCGCCTAGGCGCCTGGCACACTCGCACTAAAGCTTACAATAGTTAAAGGGATGGATGGGTGGTCGTTTTGTGACTGGAGCTCTCCCCCTAGCGCCGCGAGCGTTCGTCTTGGGCGCCGGCTCGTCTTTCAAAAAAGTTGGACGTATATGTTCGAAAAGTCTGCAGCACCTACAGAGACAGGACGACTCGTTTTCACTATGGGGATCTCGCCAAGTCTTTCACGAATGCAGAGGCCAGAAGCTTGATGGCATCTATCTCAGAGGGGAAAAGTAAACAGACACATGCAATCGTCGATTCCCACGAAAATATGGAAACGATTGGAAGTGGAGGGAAAGACGAACGTCCAGAGTCTACAGAGAAGTACGGAGAATCCTGGGACGTGTGTCTGATATGGCAGCTGCACGGACGGAGGGCGGTCCCTCTCCAAGGATGGAGCTCTCGCTCGGGACCGGTCGCTCAAAACCGACGGCAGAGGGCCAACCGCATAAGGTCTTCATCCTCATCAGCATCATCATCATCATCATCATCATCATCATCATCATCATCATCATCGTCATCATCATCATCATCATCATCATCATGATCATCATCCTCATCATCATCATCAGCAGCATCATCATCATCATCATCATCATCATCATCATCATCCTCGCCATCCTCCTCATCATCATCATCATCATCCTCGCCATCCTCCTCATCATCATCATCATCATCATCCTCGCCATCCTCATCATAATCATCGTCATCGTCATCGTCATCATCATCATCATCATCATCATCATCATCATCATCATCATCATCATCATGTTCATCATCATCAGCATCATCATCACTCCCCCCCGTCCCCCCCCCCCCCCAAAAAAACAACGTCTTCTAAACAAGCAAAAAACGCTCTTGGCTGGCAATACTCGTCCTCCCCCTCCGCGTCCCTCCACTCCTCGCCCTCCCCCTCGCTCTCCCTCCTCGCCCTCCTCCTCGTGTTGCCCCCCTCCCCATCGTCTTACCTGTCCTCGTCCTTCCCCTCCTCGCCCCTCTCCTCGTTCTCCCTCCCTCCTCGCCCATCTCCTCGTGCAGCAGACACACGGGTGGTGGGGGGGTGCGACGCCTCCTTTTTTTAGAAGGGGGCTCTCGTTGGACGCTTCGCTGGGCAGTATGCCTCAGAAGGTGCGGAGTCACGCAGCCACCTCAGCCCGCTAGCACGGATGCAGGGCAGCTCCTCTTCCACACGGGGCCACGGGGCTCTCGCCTGAACGGCAGGCCCACAGGCTGCGTCTGTCGCAGCGGGGTCTTCATCCAGGGAAAAGGCAGACTTCTGTGGTCTTACGAGGAGGTCGCTTGGGGATTGCAGGGTTCATTGCAGCATCGTTGATGCATCCTGCGTTTGACCTAGTCCTCCCCCTCCTCCCCCTCCTCCCCCTCCTCCCCCTCCTCCTTCTGTTCGTCTTCCTGCTCCTCATCCTCCTCCCTCGTCCTCACGCCTTCTCATCATCATCCTCTTTTGTCCTCAACGGCGTGGCTGTAGGTTCATCCGCATCGGCCGACGCGGTTACGGAGCGGAGTTCTGGCGTGTGAGTTTGCCTTGCGTTGACGCTTCCCGAGTCGCCCAACTGCACGGTTTTAGTTCCCGTGAGGCGCTGGTGGAATTGGGAGAGGACCCAACGCCGGCGTGAGGGAGCCGACGCTGCTTGCGAGGAGTCCAACATAGGCTGAGCCACTCCGTCGCCGCCGGCGTGCAGGGGGCTAAAGGATGGCCCGCATCATCAGGACGATCCTTCCCGCTACTGTGCTTGTGCTGTCGTCGCCCTCGTCTCAGTGCTGTTGCGTGTGAGCCGGTCTGGCTCCTCTCTCGGCTTGCTGTCATTATGTCGCCGCGGAAGTCACGGTCACCCCCCAGAGGGCTGGCCCTCCTCTAGGGGTGCACGCGGACTGCATTTGCGTGGGTGTTATATAAAGAATCCTCCCCCTCGCAGGTGGGAGGAGGTGGTCCCGAAGCGCATGGGCGACTGGCGCAGCGGCCAGCGCTGGGCCGCCAGCGTCGGCGGGCTGAGCCCAGACACCGAGTACATGTTCCGCGTGCGGGCGCCCAGGGGGCGCCCGCCTCCTCCTCCTCCTCCTCCTCCTCCTCCTCCTCCGTAGCCATTTTGGCTCAAGATGTTGAGTTCCGCAGGGGAACGAGTGGATACCGCTAGTCCGCGGCAGTGCCAGGGCTGTTCAGCCCGACATCCTCTCTCAGGACCTGGACGGGGAGCTCCGCGCTGCCGTCTTGAGTCTCCTCGTTCTTAGGGTGTGCAGGTGCTCATGGGCGGCAGTCGTCATGAACGAAAGGCTCGCAAGGCGAAGGAAGAACGGCGGGCGACGACGGCCTCATCACGTTCTGCATCATCCACCCCGCGTGCCTCCTCACCCTCGGCTCGGCTGCGTGATCTTCGGGATTCTCATGGTGCCCCTGATGGTCGCGAACGTGATCGCATTCGGACTCGGGACCGCTACCTCCCCGCCGCCAGTGATGCGTCGGCTGAGGGCTCTCGGCGTTCCCGCAGTGCTGGCCGTGGCGCCTCCCCCGTCATCGTCGACAGCTCTTGCGGGACACAGCACTTTGGCATCGCCACCCCCTTACCAGCTGGCGAGGCGCAAGCCCTGGCCCCTCATGCAACTGGGGGAGCGACGGCCTCGCCCTCCCCATCACCCTGGCCGACTCCACCAGTCTCAAGGCCATGGGCGACTCCTGGCACTTCTGCGGACGGCCGTGCGCCTGATCCCTGGGCGACGGCGGCTGCGTCCAATGGAACCACATCTCATGATGCTGTCGGACACGTTGCTCAATCTTCGGACTCATTTCAAGCAGAGGCCATGCAAGCTTTCACACAGAAAGCGATGGAGACCATCCTGGCACAGCTCCCTGCCGCGCTCAGCGCGGCCACGGTCCCACTCATGGAGAAGTATGAGGAGCGCTTCAACCAGCAGCTACGACGTGTCGACGGTGAAGTCCATGCACAGCGTGCTCGGTCGGACCTGCTCGACAGCACTGTGGCGGGCATCGCTCACCGGCTATCGCATCTGGAAAAAGAGCTCGACCTGGCAAAGGCGAAGCCGCGTCCTCCCGTTGTACCGAACCCAGAGTGGGACAGGGAAGTGGACCTCTCCATCCTCACGGTGCGGGCACCCTCTGCTGTGGCTAAGAATGCTGTGGCGGCGGCCCTGGCTCCTTGGCTCACCGAAGCAAACGTCCCTCTCGGGGACGGTGTGGAACTGCATGGAGATGACGTCACCAAATCTTTTACTCTTGCATTTCAAGGCCCCATGGAAGCAACCCGTTCATCGAGAAGGAGTCAGGCCCAGCAGCAGCTCCGACTGCCAAATGGGTCGTGGCGTGCATTCCATGTTGACGTGGGCACTGAGTCGGTGCCGATCCATATCTCCGCGGACAAGAACAAAAAGATGGTTGCCACAGAGATTGCCTGCAAGAAGCTGCAACGGGGTCTCACCGACCGTGGCATCCGTACATTCCTCGACAAGGACAATGGTCAACTTCTGGCCAAGTGGGAGCCCTTGGTGCGGGTGCTCCCTTTACCTGCAAGCAGAACGCCGAAGGTGGAATGGAATCTCCCTGCACTGGCCGACGCTGGCTTGTCCAGGGATGAGGCCAATGAGCTTGCTCGCCAGGTCTTCGACACACGTGAAGTACGGTGGAGTGGGTAACGAAGTGTTTGGTGTGGGATTTCTGGCATTCACGACCTGGAACACGGGGGCCCTGTTACACTACAGACCAGCGATTTTGAGCAGGAAGCTCAGCTACCTGAGCAAACTGATGGGGGCTGGCAAGGTAGTGGCGTTACAGGAGATCCACGGTGGTGAACGTGCCATGGAAGAAGCTCTTCAGAGGATTCACTGTACGACGCACTCTTGCTTCGTTTCTGAGTCGGTGACGCCTCGGACTGGAGGTGTCGCCACCCTCGTTCCAAAGCACCCAAGCGTTCGAGCCGAGGGGAAGAGCTTCGTCGCTGGTCGGGTGCTGCTGGTTACTATACATAATTCAGAGGCCGACTTCACTATCTACCACTGGAACGTGCACAATTTTGCCATCAACGCCGACGGCCTGAAGGAGATTCAGACATGTGTTCAATCGCAACTTCGAAGAGTGCGGGATGATCCGATGAAGTTCACTGTTATCCTCACAGGCGACTTCAACATTCCCGCGACGCCTATCGAACACCATCGTGGCGAGGGGCACACCTGCACTCCATGTTCGTCGGGCCGCGGGGGGCAGGATTCAGCCCTGCAAAGTCGCAACCCCACGGCCACATGCTCTCCGAGTTCGGCATCGTCGAGGACAACAGTGGCCACCTGTACTTCACCTTCTGGGCCATGTTCTCCGAGTCAGACCCCTTCTTCGGCGTCGTCTCTTTCAGCTTCTCCCCCGTCGGCAGCCTCCCCCAGTACTGCGTCGACGGAAGGCTCGCAGAGGGGGCAGCCCACATCAGCATCCTTGCACGCGGGCGGGGACCAGCGTGGCGACTCCACCCTGCGGGTTGGCTCTACGAGGACGCACCGTCTTGGCGACTCGAGCTGGCGGAAGATCTTCAGGGACATGACGGAGCTCGCCTCGGAGGCGCCAACCCATTGGCACGCCTCGACTGCCTGTGAGTCCAAAATCGATCGTCTCTTTGTCGCATCCCCACCATGGCTTCTGTGTCAAACGGCTCAGCTAGTATCGGTCCGCGACGAACCTCATGAGTTGGCCCACCGAGGTATTTCGGACCACTCGCCTCTGGAGATCGTCTGGCGCCCTCGGGATCACACTAGAAACAAACGTCAGAGGCCCCTCCCGCGGTGGGTGTACAAAGACAAGATTTATGCTCAGTTGGTCTCCCATATGGAAGCCCAGGTGGGCATTGAAGATCTTGCTTTCGACCCGCCGCGAATGCTCGCTGCTGCCACCGCTGTTCGACAAGCTGCTGGGCTTCTTGCACGCAATGCCATCTGCCGTGCTGCGCCATCCTCTCTGACCTCTCGGGCTATGATTTCTCGTTCGGTTGCACGATGTGTCTGGCGTGGTGACGCCCGTCTTGCACGAGTTCTTCTCTTCCAGCACCCCTGGACGCAGAGGCTCATAAGTGTAGATGGTGAGGATGTGTCTTTCATCGATCCCGGTGGCTTCCATGATCTTCATAGTTTATGGCAGCGGCAAGAAGCTGAATCTCGTCGGAAAGCTCTTGAGTCAGAGATCAACCAGTCGTCATCTAACACGGTCAGGGTTCGTCTGGCTGGGCGTCGTCGTGCTATCATTCGATCTGCCCAGTTATGGAACCCACTTTCTCGGCGTAAGTATTTAGCATCGGTCACGGCCACTGAGATGATTTCGGTTTCGGAGATGCTGGCGGGTGGCTCATTGGCGGCGGAACCTGCACCTCCTTCCCAGTCCCCGATGGTGGACGCTTTGGCTTCATATTGGGGCCCTGTTTTCTCCAAGACCCACTCCGTCCCTTCCATCGCCAAGAAATACATAGACAGATTCAGCAGCTCAGAGGACTTCTCAGATGTACGCCCGCCCGTCCTTCGCGATGTAGAACGTGCACTTAAGCAGTCGAACTGGTCCGCTCCTGGCCCCGACGGGCTTCACTATGCGGCCTGGAGATGTGGTTCGGGGTCTAGGGTCCTTCTTGAAGTTCTTCGCTGGATTGCTCTTGGGAATTTCATGCCTTCCAATTTCACAGCGCTGCTGGCCGTCTTCCTCCCCAAGGACCCAAAGGCTCCCTCCCATGATCCCGACGATGGTGGCGTTGTACGGGCCCCTGGTGATACCCGCCCGTTGGGACTCAAGAACTCCTCGAATAAAGTGGTGTGCAGTGTACTGAACCAGACTATGAGCTGGATCACGCAGAAGATCGGGGCCCCGTCACAACGGGGCTTTATTCGGAGGCGCAACTTCTTGGATAATATTGTCGATTTGGATCTCTACGCTCGTTCGGCTAGTATTATGTCTGCTGTATCCTCCCAAGCTCCGTCATTGACTGCATTTGACTTCGCCCAGGCCTTCCCATCGGTATCCCAGGAGTGGCTATTCCAATGTCTCGCCCGACTTCGGATTCCTGCTCCTCTGGTTCGCGCTCTCCGCTCCCTTTACCACTGCACTCCATGCTACTTCGTTAGCGACTCCCCGACGTACTTATACCACATGAACTCGGGGGTGCTTCAGGGCTGTCCGTTGAGTGGTTCGCTTTATGTCGTCGCGAGCAATCCGTTTCTCCTGGACTTAGAACATTGTTTGGTCGCACGGGGGCGTCTCCTGGGTGTCATTCGTGCCTGTGCAGACGATCTTGGGGCAGTCATCTTCCATAACAGGGCGTATCCACGTTTGGCTCGAGTATTTCGACATGCTTCGAGGTTTGCTCAGCTACGACTTAAGCCTGCAAAATGCAATGTGATACCTCTGCGTGACCCATCTATGCCCGAACACGGAGCCCTACTTCGACGCCAACTTGTGGGAGCCGACCCCGCATGGGCAGATTTCGCAATTGCTCCTGTGTGCACTTATCTTGGCTTTCAGATTGGGCCTGGAGCCACAGATGACAGTCAATGGTCGACTCCTGTTCTCAAGCATGCTATTCGCACTACCGCAATTTCGTCACAGGGCGCAGCTCTCTCCACGGCTGCCGCGCTATATCGTCAAAGAGCCGCTCCCACGCTGTCGCACGTTGCTCAGCTGGTTCCTCTTCATTGGCGGGTTGGGCAACAGCAGCGCTTTCTGCTTGCCCGCATTATGCGCGCTCCCGCTAGTATGCTTCGGACTGGTGACTGCTTCGCGCTGAGCACGGTGAATGGCCCGAGGTTCAGCTCGATCTTCTGCATCGCTGCCGCTGCGCGTCTTCGTGCGGCTCTGATCACATGTTCGACATGGCGCTTGCAGTTGCAACGACATCGTGATCTTCTTTGGGAATATGGCACGTTCTCCCAAGCTACCAGTGACGTCCTGGCTCCGAACTTCTGGTTGGCCCCACCTTTTGCCTGCCGTTTGGAAGAGGCAGCGAAGGGCTTTCCATCGTCCCAACTGCTGAGAGCGGGAGGACAAATGGCATTAAGTCTCTGGCGAAGCGGCGACTCCTCTGTCCCCGACGAGGTGATCGAGTTTTTTCGTGCTGGACCCACTCCCTGTCAGCTCCCATGGAGCCTCGCCCGTCGTGTTGCGGAGCCAGCGGAAGGTCAAGGCGTGTCACCTTCTCGAGCACCCAAGTGGCAGGCGGCTTTCACCGACATCTTCCAGCGGGCGGTCTTCCCTGACAGACTCCAGGAGCTACTCGCCGCCCGTGCGCAGAAGCACTTTGGTATTCGTAATGTGTGCTGGCCCACGGTCATCAGTCAGCTGCAGCTCATGCCCGCATCGTGGGCGTTCATTTGTGTGCGGTCGTACCTCGGGGGATGGATTACTCACCGACGTATGCAGCGAGAGGCGTGGTGTATCTATGGGTGTGGAGGTCCCGATACTATGCGACATTATCTGGTGGAGTGCTATCGGTGTGCGCACTTCGGCGCCCTCATTCTTCGTGAAGATCTCCCTGGCGAGATACGGCATCGACTTGGGCTTTTGGGGCCGACTCCGGCCTCCCTCATTGCCTGCTACCACCATTATCGGCTGATGGCGGCACGGCACAGTTCCCCGCCGACCTACGCACGGGCGCTGGAGCTGGTCCCTGCTGCGCAGATCGCGCTGAGGCTCCCTCTTCGTGGACGACAGCAGCTGGCACTTCTTCGTCGGCCCACCCTGCGTGAGGCAATCGAAGCGGCCCGCCGAGCCAACGAGGAGGACGACCCCATGAATGAGGCTCGGGGCTCTGAGGTAATAGGTCTCCCATTGCTTGCGTCGCCTCAGCCATCTCTCTCCTCGATCCCTCCTGATCCCCCCTCAGTGCCCAATCCCTGTCGCGATGATGAGCTCATTGAATTTCAGTTCGTTGATTATGATTTGCCCCGCGATCCCAGTGGGATCAGGATGATCACTGCCGAAGAGCAGGCCATGTTTGCAGGCGGGCCTCAAACTCCAGCCTCGCCAGAGTCGGCTCCCTCTCCCCCTCGTTCCCTTCGCTCCGATGATGCCTCGTCCCCGCCCCACCTCACCCTGTTTCGATTCGTGGATTATGATATGCCCCGCAACTGTGCAGGGATCAGGGTGCTGTCTGCAGCGGAGCAGGCCTCCTTTTCGGGCCCCCTGACTGCAAGCAGGCCGCCACAACATTGTGAAGGCCCCTGCCGTGTGCTCTTGCAGGGAGAGCGGCACGGAGGGCATGCAGATGAGTAGAGTGACGACGACCTCCCCCAGGTACGCTCCGCCTCCTCCTCCTCCTCCTCCTCCTCCTCCTCCTCCTCCTCGCCGCGTGGCCACAGGATCGGCCAGTTGGAATCACGCGCCGTTTGTGCCGACGTGCCGTCTGTTCCGACGCGCGGCCTTGCGTCTCTGAGAGGGCGCGTCGGCCACCAGGGCAGACGCCGCCTCGGGCGCGGCGGCTTCGCCGTGGGGTTTGCCGCGGTGCCGGCTGCGTCCTCTTGGGGTGCGGGGCGCAGGGCTTGCCATGGGTTTGCCGTGGTGTCGGCGTACTCCGTTTGGGCGCGTCGAGAACAAACAGCACGGCGACACATAGGCGATGACGTGGTCGGCGTTGTGGAGGAACGCGCCGATTTCGGCCAGGGCCCTCTGCCCGGTGTTCCCGGGCTCACCTTTGCGAACAGCGCCGACGTCGCGAATGCTGGCCCGCGCGCACGAGTACATCCGGGCTTTCGTAATGGGGGACACTTGGCCCACTGGCCCTATCCAACCTCTCCGGACATTCGATTCATAAGAGCGGCCTTTCGCCGGAGTGACTTTTGGGTGCGCGGCCACACGTTTTGGACGTCTCCGCTGGTCCTTTCAGTACTTCCTTCCTTGGGATGCGTTCCAGCAGCCGCGCCTCGCCGAGAGTCTTCTGGGGGTGCCCGAGCCATTTTGAATTGCCGAGGGAGGCTCGAGCCTCTGGCCAGACGACCGAGCGCCCCCTCGCGTGAGTGGCCTTGGGTGCGCGCGCTCCAGCAGCCGCGCCTCGACGAGAGCCTCCTGGGGGTGCCCGAATCGTCTGATCCCTTTGTCCAGAACACCGAGCGGAGTGGTCCTCTGGGTGCGCGCGTTCTGCCAGCTGCGCCTCGCAGAGGGCCCCCTGGAGGTGCCCAGGCCGTCCCGAGCGCCCGCCAGAGGCCCGAGCCGGTGGCCAGACGGCCGAGCGGACCTTCGCCGGAGAGCCCTCCGGTGGCGCCGCCGTCGGGCGATGTTCACTTGCGCCTGGCGCCGGCGTGAGCTGGGCCGCGGGCTGGGCCCAGCGGTCCGCCGAAGTAGCTCATCGGCCCCCTCTTGCAGGGCCAGGTGGGGTCCACAATCTGTTGTCGAGCACATTGCCAGTTTTTTGTGTCCAGATCATGTCTTACCAACTCCGGGTGCGCCATGCCCTGGCTGGCCTCGCGGAGGGGCCAAGCCCAAGCTCAGGGGCAGCGTCCGGGGGGATTGGCTCGAAGGGGGGAAGCATCAGCCTGGAATCGGCGATCCCGCCGCCGACAAATCGGCGACAGGCCCCCGATAGCGAATCCATACGTTTCTGGGCAGTGCGGGTTGACTTCGGACGCTATCGGCGATCAATGGGCGTGGGGGTCGATGCGTCTCCCTCTGAGCCTGCTCCCCCCTCTGAGCCCCCCCCACGTTCGGTTGCCCCTCACAAGCACGCACGCCGATGCTGTCTGATGTCGCACCGCGTGCAGCGGCCAGCAAGCCGCACACCGAAGGCCACTCATGCCCAGGGGGGGCGCTCCTGCACTCGGCCGCTCTCGGCTCGAGGTTCGAGGATCCAGGATCCAGCCTCGAAAGGTGTTTCTTCCCATGTTCGGGTCATGGCCCCTCCCTCGCCCCTCACCCCTCCTGCGACCTCTGCTGCCAGCAGAGCGCACCGCAGGGGGCCAGAGCGAGGGATGGGGTGCTCTAGTGAGGTGGGGCACTTTTTCGAGGGGATCGGAGGGCTTCGGAGAAGGCTTCTTTCCCAGACATCCAGCGGCTTGCAAACAAGCTGCGTTGTCTGGCCGTTTCCCCACGGAAGTTTTTTTTTCTGGGCCCCGAGGCCGTCAAGAAAATATGCATGAAGCAAAACCGGCGGGGAAGGGGTCCAGACTGGAGTCACGACGGGAAAAAAGCACGGAGCATGATGTATGGGGGGAAGAGGAGGACGAGGAGGAGGACGAGGACCAGTGCAAACCCAAGACGTATCAACGATGTTGCAATCAACCGTCCCTCTAAGTTCCCTCTTCATAGGTCCTTACAAGCTTGTTATCGTTCTCATGGGAAGTGCCCCTTTGAAAGACAAGCATCCGAGAATCCTCAATCACACCAAAACGCCATTCCTGGGACTTCAGCGCCGCGAATCAACATGAATGTTGCGCCCTGACAATCGTGAATCGCGCCAGAACGCCACTCGTGGAACCTCAAAGCAGCGAAGCAACTAAGTGTTGCATCCTGAGAACCCTCAACTGCGCCAGAACATTCGTCTTGGGCCTCCATGCGAATGTTTGGAACTTCTGCAAACGTTCAAAACGAAAGCACGCGGCGCAGCGCAAAAGCGAGAGCCACATGTTGAAAACCACTCGCCCTCCATCCGTGAAATCGGGGTTATACATGGTGAGGACTTTTCAGGCGAAACGCCTGGCCCGCCCGACCAGCACGTCTGGGGATGCGACAGACAGGAGCTATCAAGAAAGTAAAGGGACGGAGGAGGACGACAAAGAAAAGGACGAGGAGGACGAAAACAGACGAAGAGGTGGGGGGAGGAGGAGGGGGCACCGCATGAAAACAAGACACCGGACGTCTGAGTCAGAAGGCAGGAGAGAGTTTCTAAGACGCTCCCCGCTCGCTTTGAAGGTCCTCCGCCTGCCCGCCGCAATTCGCTACGTTGTGCTCCAACCTCGACTCTCCCGTGCCGCGCGTCCAGCGGCGCCGCGACCACAAAATTCTGCTGCGGGTTACCCCCCTCGGTCCACCCGCGTACCAGGATGGCGAGGAGGAGGACGGAGGAGGAGCAGGAGGAGGAGAGCGGGGGGGAGCGGGGGGAGAAGGCCCCCTTCGCTCAACCATCCTTCTGGCGCCGCGGGAGGAGGATCTTGAAGTTGGTCGGCCCTCTCGGGGCTTTTGGGGGAGGAGCTCCGCTCGTGACCACGGCCAGGGGCCTCTCAGAGATCCCCCGATGCCGCCCAGGCCACCCTCGGAACCCTCAAAGCCTCTATCCGTGCCTCCCCCAGGAGGCCTCCAGGGGCCCAAAGAGGGCCAGAGAGAGAAAGAGCCAAAAACCTCGATCTTAGATCCGACCCTTTTCCCTCCCCCTCCGTCCCTCCCCTTCCCTGAAGGACTTTTCTCTTGATGCAAGAAAAGTTTCCATAACAAAATCCGGATCCGGTCAAGATCGGTCCGCAGACCATTGCGCATGGGTCGCGGAGTGGGTCGCGGGTGGGTCGCGGGGTAGGTCGCGGGTGGGTCGCTGGTGGGTCGCGGGGTGGGTCGCGGGTGGGTCGCGGGAGGGCGCGGGTGGGTCGTTGGTGGGTCGCGCGGGTGGGTCGCGGGTGGGTCGCGGGGTGGGTCGCGGGGTGGGTCGCGGGTGGGTCGCGACGTGGGTCGCGGGGTGAGTCGCGGATGAGTCGCGGGTGGGTCGCGGGGTGGGTCGCGGGTGGGTCGCGGGGTGGGTCGCGGGTGGGTCGCGGGTGGGTCGTGGGGTGGGTCGTGGGGTGGATCGCTGGTGGGTCGCGGGGTGGGTCGCGGGGTGGGCCGTGGGGTAACTAGGTCGCAGGGTGGGTCGCGGGGTGGGTCGCGGATGGGTCGCGGGTGGGTCGCGGGGTGGGTCGAAGGTGGTTCTCGGGGTGGATCGCGGGGTGGGTCGCGTGTGGGTCGCCGTCGGGTCGCTGGTGGGTCGCGGGTGGGACGACAACAACGGAACAAACCAAACCAAACCAACAAGAATCCGCACCGCGGGAACACACTTCAGCCACGCACTCGGGGACAGTGAAGCACCGCTCGGCCACCTTAATCTGATACATGTGTACATATGTATATACACACATGTGTGCGTGTCTATGTACATGTATGCCTATGGATATACGAACGTACACATATGTATGCATGTGTACATGTATATGTCGATGCCTAGGTATATGTGTATGAACATGTATCTGTATATGTATATGTAGATGTACCTGTATATTATATGTGTATGTATATGTGTGCACGTGTGTGCGCGATCCACAAATCCAGAATCAACAACGAAACACACAAACCAAACACAAGAATGACCACACTAACGACAAGTACCACAGAACAACATGAAACTTCCATGGACAATTGAACAAACAACCAACAAACAACGAATATCTATGCAAATCAAAATGTATACATATATAACTATATGTATACATAAGTACACCAAACAACGGGGAAGACGAAGACTGTCGAGTGTGCCTCCTCTTCACGCCCCCCCCCCACCACCACCAGGCGCGCAACTGCGCCGGCTGGTCGAGCGACTTCTCGGCGGTGGGCGTGGGCAGGACAGCCTGGCCACGACTTCTAGGGGGGAGCTGCGGTCCTCATTCCCCATGGGTGTCCCATCCGCTTCCACATTCGGCTCGGACGAGCGGGGGGGATTGGTAAAGGGGAGGCACACAGTCTGCATGCAGCCCGATTGGGCCCCGCCGCTGGGCGCTGTCCTCATGAGACGGCGCCTGCGGCGCGGGAGACGGCGCCAGGAAGACCAGGTTCACGCAACTCTCGCGCTAACCCCCCTTTGCTACTACCCCCCCCCCCCTCTCGTTGTTCGTCCGACCCCACACATGCGGCGTTCCAGAAACAGCCCTGCCTTCACGAATCGAAGGAGCTGCCATCTCTCTCTCTCTCTCTTTCTCTCTCTCTCTCTCTCTCTCTCGGCGGAATGTCGGCGGAGACTGGCGGATGTAATACGAGGCCAGCTCCGCCGTCGGAATGTCGGCGGAAGCCGGCGGATACCTCCCAAGAGATGACAAGGTTTTTTGGTTCATGGTTTCCAGAACCCGCCACATCCCCAGCCATCCGCAGGGCCTCTTCGTTTAAATTGTAGTGCACCTTTAAGGCTTCTTGGCTTCAGGTTCTCATGCTACCTTGCAGTATGTCGTATTGCTCTCTGCCTTTTTCGCTTCCCCTTCGCTCGTCCTTGCTTCTGTCTTCTGCTGGCTTTCTCCCACTGCTGTGATATACTCGTATCACTTGTAATGCTGCGTGGTCCGTAATACGCTGTGTGTGAGGCTTCTGCCTGCTGGCTGTGTGTGATGATTTGACATGTCGCTGGTCGTTCGGACCGCTGGGGATACCCACACATCGCCGGTGCCTATTTTCCTTGGCCGCCTTTACTCCTGGTTCCTCCTCCTCTTCCTCCTCCTGCGCCTCCTCCTCCTCCGCCCCGCTCTCGGCTGGTGCCTACTTTGGCATTCTGGCGTCATTTAGAATCCTCATGTGCAGCGTCGGCCCTGACCCCTCTCGACTAGGGTTGCGGATCTGTACCCGTACGTTGCGATATTGTTTCACTTGGCTCGTTATGCGAACGGCACGCGCGTGAGCTAACTCCATGCAGAATTCTTTACGCTTCGCGTATCCCCACCAGCCCATCTCAAAACAGCAACTCTTGCGAAGCATGCCGACAGTCGTGTTTTTCAGGCGTGTTTCCGCCTGCCCCCGCATATCTCCCCTGTTCCTCCTTCCTCCCGCCTCCTTGTACATCCTCCTTGTGGTGGGAGCGGGAGAAGGACGAGGCGGAGGAGGAGGGAGAGAAAGAGCTCCTCGTGGTTTGAGTCGTTTGGGGTTTCTCGTCCTGGTGTGAGTCGTTCGGGCCCATCTTCCTGTGTGAGTAGTTCGGATTTACGTGGGTGCGCAGCAGCCATGGTCTCTTCGTCCTGAGTGTGAGGTCGTTCGGGCTTCTCGTGGTGTGTAGTTGTTCGTTCCGGGGGCCCCTCGTCCTGGTGTGAGTCGTTCCGGCCGCTCCCTCCTCCGGTGTGACTCGTTCGGGCTCCTCGTGGTGTGAGTCGTTTCGGGCCGCCCTCGTCGTGCTGTGTAGTCTTTCGGGCTCCTCGTGGTGTGAGTCGTTCGGACGCCTCGTCTGGTGTGAGTCGTTCGTGCCCCTCCAGAAGGAGGGGCCCGAACGACTCACACCAGGACGAGGCGCCCGAACGACTCACACCACGAGGAGCCCGAACGACGCACACCACGACGAGGGCCCCGAACGACTCACACCACGAGGAGCCCGAACGAGTCACACCAGGAGGAGGGGCCCGAACGACTCACACCAGGACGAGGGGCCCGAACAACTCACACCACGAGAAGCCCGAACGACTCACACCAGGACGAAGAGCCCGAACGACTCACACCACGAAGAGCCCGAACGACTCACACCAGGAAGAAGGGCCCGAACGACTCACCAGGACGAGAAACCCCAAACGACTCAAACCACGGGGAGCGCTTTCTCTCCCTCCTCCTCCGCCTCGTCCTTCTCCCGCTCCCACCACAAGGAGGATGTACAAGGAGGCGGGAGGAAGGAGGAACAAGGGAGATATGCGGGGGCAAGCGGAAACACGCCTGAAAAACACGACTGTCGGCATGCTTCGCAAGAGTTGCTGTTTTGAGATGGGCTGGTGGGGATACGCGAAGCGTAAAGAATTCTGCATGGAGTTAGCTCACGCGCGTGCCGTTCGCATAACGAGCCAAGTGAAACAATATCGCAACGTACGGGTACAGATCCGCAACCCTAGTCGAGAGGGGTCAGGGCCGACGCTGCACATGAGGATTCTAAATGACGCCAGAATGCCAAAGTAGGCACCAGCCGAGAGCGGGGCGGAGGAGGAGGAGGCGCAGGAGGAGGAAGAGGAGGAGGAACCAGGAGTAAAGGCGGCCAAGGAAAATAGGCACCGGCGATGTGTGGGTATCCCCAGCGGTCCGAACGACCAGCGACATGTCAAATCATCACACACAGCCAGCAGGCAGAAGCCTCACACACAGCGTATTACGGACCACGCAGCATTACAAGTGATACGAGTATATCACAGCAGTGGGAGAAAGCCAGCAGAAGACAGAAGCAAGGACGAGCGAAGGGGAAGCGAAAAAGGCAGAGAGCAATACGACATACTGCAAGGTAGCATGAGAACCTGAAGCCAAGAAGCCTTAAAGGTGCACTACAATTTAAACGAAGAGGCCCTGCGGATGGCTGGGGATGTGGCGGGTTCTGGAAACCATGAACCAAAAAACCTTGTCATCTCTTGGGAGGTATCCGCCGGCTTCCGCCGACATTCCGACGGCGGAGCTGGCCTCGTATTACATCCGCCAGTCTCCGCCGACATTCCGCCGAGAGAGAGAGAGAGAGAGAGAGAAAGAGAGAGAGAGAGAGATGGCAGCTCCTTCGATTCGTGAAGGCAGGGCTGTTTCTGGAACGCCGCATGTGTGGGGTCGGACGAACAACGAGAGGGGGGGGGGGGTAGTAGCAAAGGGGGGTTAGCGCGAGAGTTGCGTGAACCTGGTCTTCCTGGCGCCGTCTCCCGCGCCGCAGGCGCCGTCTCATGAGGACAGCGCCCAGCGGCGGGGCCCAATCGGGCTGCATGCAGACTGTGTGCCTCCCCTTTACCAATCCCCCCCGCTCGTCCGAGCCGAATGTGGAAGCGGATGGGACACCCATGGGGAATGAGGACCGCAGCTCCCCCCTAGAAGTCGTGGCCAGGCTGTCCTGCCCACGCCCACCGCCGAGAAGTCGCTCGACCAGCCGGCGCAGTTGCGCGCCTGGTGGTGGTGGGGGGGGGGCGTGAAGAGGAGGCACACTCGACAGTCTTCGTCTTCCCCGTTGTTTGGTGTACTTATGTATACATATAGTTATATATGTATACATTTTGATTTGCATAGATATTCGTTGTTTGTTGGTTGTTTGTTCAATTGTCCATGGAAGTTTCATGTTGTTCTGTGGTACTTGTCGTTAGTGTGGTCATTCTTGTGTTTGGTTTGTGTGTTTCGTTGTTGATTCTGGATTTGTGGATCGCGCACACACGTGCACACATATACATACACATATAATATACAGGTACATCTACATATACATATACAGATACATGTTCATACACATATACCTAGGCATCGACATATACATGTACACATGCATACATATGTGTACGTTCGTATATCCATAGGCATACATGTACATAGACACGCACACATGTGTGTATATACATATGTACACATGTATCAGATTAAGGTGGCCGAGCGGTGCTTCACTGTCCCCGAGTGCGTGGCTGAAGTGTGTTCCCGCGGTGCGGATTCTTGTTGGTTTGGTTTGGTTTGTTCCGTTGTTGTCGTCCCACCCGCGACCCACCAGCGACCCGACGGCGACCCACACGCGACCCACCCCGCGATCCACCCCGAGAACCACCTTCGACCCACCCCGCGACCCACCCGCGACCCATCCGCGACCAGGACGAGGTGCTGGGCACAGAGGACACCGCAACCCACGAGGAGCAGCAGAGCTTCGCAGATCAGGGGGCGATATTCGGCAACCAAGCACACTGCGTGGCAAATGGAATTCCGAGGCGCGCTAGCAGCAGCACGACACCGACCATGACGCGACGCTGGGCACCAAGGACACCGCGACCCTAGAGGAGCAGCAGAGCTTCGCGGAACTGGAGTAGGCGCTGTGCACCAAGGACGCCACGACGCACTAGGAGCAGCGGAGCTTCACAGAGCTGGACGCGGCGCTGGGCACCAAGGGCGACGCGACGCACGAGCCACAACAGAGCTACGCGGACCAGGACGAGATGCTGGGCACAAAAGACCCCGCGGCGCGCGAGGAGCAGCAGAATTGCGACGACCAGGACTTGACGCTGGGCACGCATGTGCGCGCAGGTAACACGGTCTACGCGGCACACGAGATGCCGTCCGCTTTTCCCAAAAGAGTATACGACGCCGTGGAGAGGCGACACGAGGAGGGCCACGTGGTCACGGCCCCGTGGATGTACACCAGGTTCCACGAGCGTATCGAGAAGGCAGGCACCGCGCGGTCCCGCTGGGGTGTCTTCGAGCGGGTCGGCACGGGAGCCATAGGGGGGAGATCGCCGGGGCGCACGGCACCGTGCAGGGATACGCAGCCAGCGTAGAAGAGGAGCAGCGCAACACCGAGAGCGACGAAGAGGATTCCGACACAGAGTCGGAGGCAGCTGGATAGCAGGCGTCTGCAAGGAGCGGGCGCCGCCCTGCCCGCGTACCCTTGCGCGAGGAGAGCCGGTGCAGGCAGGGCCAGAGCGCCACGTAGCGCGAGCAACCTCCCACAAAGTGACACTCGGCAAGGCCAACTACCATTGTTCAACGTTATGCCGCACTAGTAGCAGAGCAGTAGCCACGAACTGGCCCCAATGCTCGATCGGCCGATCTTCCTCCTCCTCCCTGGACATCCAACAGCTTGATTGTTTCGCGATGTAGCCCCCTCGAGGTGTGGACCCTTCTCCAAGGCCAGCTTTTCAACCCGAGTCCTTTTTTGACAGCCCGGGGCCCCGAGAAGGGTCCCCAGAGGCCGACAACGGCCATAAATTTCCCGTCCCGATCCTTCCGCGACGCGAGGATTTGGGGACTCATTTTGTTCGAAAACCAGCGCAAAAGCAGTCGCCGCAAGAGGGCCACGGCCACCGCAGCCTGCGGCTGGACTGCAGGACGTCCGACCCCGAACCTCCTCGGTCTTCGAACCCCCATCGATCCTCCTCGCAGCCCCATCCGACACCTGGGCGTCCTGTGGTGCTCGCACAGGCGCAGATTTGTCTTGCCTTTGCGATGTTTATGTCGATCTCGATGCTCGTGTTTTCGATGTTTCGATGCTGGTCTCGTGTTTTCGATCCTCGCGTTGGACCCATCCACCGCATGATCGTCGTCGACACGAGCATCAACCCCGCAGACGACCCTCGATCCTCCCACGAAAAACCCGAGCCCCGAACCAAACGGCCCAAAGAGAGAGCCGAAAGCCGCGATCCACGACCCTGGACCTTGAGGTGCTGGGCTTCCTCGAGGCCTCTGCGGGCCAGAGGGGGCCTGGTCTTCCTCTTCCTCCTTCCCTCATCCTCCTCCTCCTCCTCCTCCTCCTCCTCCTCCTCCTCCTCCTCCTCCCTCCTCCTCCCCCTCCTCTTCTTCCTCCTCCTCCTCTTCCTCCTCCTCCTCCCTCCTCCTCCTCCTCCTCCTCCTCATCCTCCTCCTCCTCCTCTGCCTCCTCCTCCTCCTCCTCCTCCTCCTCCTCCTCCTCCCCTCCTCCTCCTCCTCCTCCTCCTCCTCCTCCTCCTCCTCCTCCTCCTCCTCCTCCTCCTCCTCCTCCTCCGCCTCCTCCCCCCCCCCTCCTCCTCCTCCTCCTTTTCCTCCTCCTCCTTCTCCTCCTCCTCGTCTTCCTCGTCCTCCTCCTCCTCCTCTCCTCCTCCCCTCCTCCTCCTCCCCCCTCCTCCTCCTCCTCCTCCTCCTCCTCCTCCTCCTCCTCCTCCTCCTCCTCCTCGTCCTCGTCGTCGTCGTTTTTTGCGTGCGCAAACTCATCAGAGGACGCAAATGTGACGAGACGATTAATTAGGCGCCGCCCGGGGCCTGTTTGACAGGCGGTCGCGTGTGGCTACGCTTTCTCGCAGCTCTGTACGCGAATGTGTCTGCAGAGTCTACATGCGATATCCTATCGGTATCCATGGGTGAGGTGCTGGCGACGACCCACAGCCAGCAAGCGGTCCAATGAGGATTCGACCAGTGTGCTATGAGACGGAGTCGAGTCGAGAACTGTTTGTGGCACGCTTTGCACACTCCATCTTCGTCAGCATACAACCGCCGATCAGTGCGCATGCCATGATTGACCCGGGCGTGCGTCAACATGGCCTGGCGCGTGGCACAACAACGTGTGCAACGCATGCAAGAATGGGAGGCAAATCCACTACCGCTCATGGTGTCACGCGACGCATCACACACAGACGCAAAGAAACGAATGCCATGAACGACGTCCTCCCACTGCTGAACACTGTCAACCATGATGCTCCGCCAGGGATTCGAATTCACGGCAGGGTCAGGAAGGCAATTTCGGGCCGCCGTGGACACTCTGTAGCAGGATGACAAGTCCGCCCTCACTTGTCTGACCCCCGGCATCACTTGACGGGGCCCGTCCTCTCGGTCACGCCCTTGAGACAGCAAAGCAAGCAACGCATGACTATCGGAGCGAAAAAGACGAGCAAGGTACAAAAGCCTCTTCTGCAACAGAATGTAATCTATTGACCATGCCAGCATGCTCCCCGACATGACTGTCCGAACCCGCCGCTCCGTCGAAATGCACGCGATCACATATTCGACGCACAACACGCATGTACACAGCATCGAGCACGCGCACATAACACAAGCCTTCAGCATTCTGACGTGCGCATTGTACAAAAGCTCCGACAACACAAGACTATGACAGAACAACGTGCGAAGCGACACTCGCAGAGCCGGGTTTCCAAACAACTTCCTGGTTATCGGTGCGTACGAAGATAGCGCATTGTTCGCCCTTTGAGTCACACACAGGATGGTTGACCCACTCATCGCCGTCACAGAACCAAAGTGCTCTGAGTACTAAGTTGCATATCGTGGTCGGAAGCACCCGCCCCACGAAATTTCATGAAAGCTTCGGTTTTGCCTCTGTTCCAGTTAATAAGCAAACGGAAAGACGAGAACATCTCAACGAGCACATCTAACAACGTGCGGGTGGCTTCCCACACCATGCGGGGCGAGCGCGCAAACAACACCACGCACAAACCGTCAACAAAGGCCATTTCGACAATGTCTTCCTCCTGATGGCACTCATCTGCGCCATCCACCCAGAATGCGCCCTCTCGGCGTTTCAGACGTAAGGTCACGCCGGCGCCTTGCAATCGCGATCTCAGCGCAATAATGACAAGAGCGTAAGCGCTGTTATGGACGACTCCGCCAAGCTTGCAACCTTGACTCCCTCCTCCTCCTTCTCCTCCTCCTCCCCCCCCTCCTCCTCCTCCTCCTCCTCCTCCTCCTCCTCCTCCTCCTCCTCCTCCTCCTCCTCCTCCTCCTCCTCCTCCGCTGATCACTCCTCCTCCTCCCCGTCCCTCCCTCCTGCTCCCCCCCGTCCCTCCCTCCAGAAGGGGCATCCGATCCGCTCGCAGGCCCGTGGCCAGCGCGAGCGCAGGACCTCCGAGCGGCCGCCGCCGCCCGTGGCCCTGCGGCAGGTGTCGCGGCTGCCGGGCCGCGCGGCGCCCCCTCTGGGGCGGCCCTCAAAAGTAGCGTCGTCGCTTCCGTTGTCGCGAGAGCGGAAGACTCGAGTGCGCCGGAGCTCGGGCTTGCTGGCGTTTTTTGATGAGCGCGTCTTGGACTTCGACGGGCCAGCTTTCTTGGGATGCCTGCAGCGGAAGTTCGCGTCAAATTTCAGACTGGGTCTCGTCATTTTCATGAGAGCCCCATCAGGCCAATTCGAGTCCCCCCGAGCCCGAGTCTTACGTCTCCCCGACACTTGTCGGGACTATCGACATGGGTACTAGGTTCGCGTCGTGTCGACCGGCGGCGACCCCGCCGCCAGCGTTCAACGTTAAACGCGCCAGCGACGCAGAATCGGTCGATGTTGAACGATGTGACATGTCGGAGATTGCCGATCGTTCAAAGCTGAACGATCCCCGTGGCTTCAGGAACCAACACCGAAGCCAGCACGACACGAACCTGCCGTACGTACGGAAAGAATGAGCACAAAGACCGACAGCTTTTCCTGTTCATTTTGAGCCAGGCTCGCTGTCGCTGTCGCCGCTGACGTTGTACATTTGAGACAGAAGGCCACACGCCCAACAGCGGCCGCTGTCGGTTTGGAGCAACATCTGTTGTTGGGCATCGTGCCCATTCTTTTCTGTACCCATTTCGGGCGTCCAAACCAAAGCAGAGTCGTCGCCTCCAGTGCAATCGCAGGCCCAGATCTGCGGCGATATAATGTGTTCAACTGGAGTCTTTGTCTTCGGTGTCGAGTCTAGTGAGCCGTTTTCGGGCCCTGGGGCCATCAAGAATAGATCCAGAACGAAAAACGACCCCTGGGGAAGCGGTCGGGACTTGCGAGGCCGCTCATTGACAAAACAGATCGGCGAGTGTCAGAGAACGTTGTCGCAGGGGTCGCGTGCGGACCGTTCCCCCTCCCCCCAACCCACTTCCTCGCCTCTCCCTCTCCTCCTCCTCCTCCTCCTCCTCCTTCTCCTCCTCCTCCTCCTCCTCCTCCTCCTCCTCCTCCTCCTCCTCCTCCTCCTCCCTCCTCCTCCTCCTCCTCCCCCCTACTCCTACTCCTACTCCTCCTCCTCCTCATCATCATCATCAGCATCATCATCCTCTCCTCCTGCTCCTCCTCCTCCCCCTACTCCTACTCCTCCTTCTCCTTTTCCTCTCCTCCTCCTCCCTCCTCCTCTCCTCTCCTCCTCCTTCTCCTCCTCCTCCTCCTCCTCCTCCTCCTCCTCCTCCGCCTCCTCCTCCTCCTCCTCCTCCTCGTCCTCCTCCTCCTCTTACTCTTCTGCTCCTCCTCCTCCTCATCATCCTCCTCCTCCTCTTCCTCCTCCTCCTCCTCCTCCTCCTCCCTCCCTGCTCTTCCTGCTCCTCGTGCTCCCCCTCCTCCTCCTCCTCATCCCCCTTCTCCTCCTCTTCCTCCTCCTCATCCTCCTCCTCCTCCTCCTCCTCCCCCTCCTCCTCCGTCTCCTCCTCCTCCTGCTTTTCCTGCTCCTCCTCCTCCTTTTCTTCCTCCTACTCCTCCTCCTCCGCCTCCTCCTCCTCCTCCGTAGCCATGTTGGCTCAAGATGATACTGTGCCCTGGGCTGGAAATGGACACCTCTGGCCCGAGGCCAGACCCCGACGGCTCTGTGAGCTCCTGCTGGAGCTCCCGCGACAGTCGTTTTTGGGCACTGTTGGCCGCGGGTAAACTGAGGTTTCTCCGGTTCCTGCGATCACCAGTGTCCCCTCCATGGGCGTCGCCGATGCCGCCAAGTCCACTGGGGAGGGCTCACTCCGCAAGAGCGGCATCAGCTAGTGCAAGGCGAATGGCTCAGCTGCTTGTTCTGCTTCTGGTGTTGATGGCCGTCGAGATGATCGGTCACGCACCTTTCCGCACGGTGAGGGGTCCGAGCTCGACGACTACGCCCCCTTGGCCCTCGTCCACGAGCTCGCGAACAAGATGGGCAAGATGGAGGGAGCTATCAGACAGCCTCAAGCAGTCCGTCACAATCGCCGTCCGCGACTCCACCACCTACATCGCCGAGGCCTTGGCTGCTGCGCAGCCGGGGTCAACGGTCTCCACACGAAGATCGAGAAGGACATCGCCATCGCCGCCGGCCAGCAGATCGACGCGACCCGCATCGCTTTCCAGAAGCAGCTGGACGCCTTCCACAGTCGGGTCGGCTCCCTCGAGGACCGCCAAGAGCAGACGGAGGCCACCATCCGCAGCATGGCCGAGCAGATCGCTGAGTTGCAGAAGACGCTGGAGGCTGCCGCGAAGCAACCGGTGCAGCCCCCCAACGTGCGCCGCAAGTTCGACAGGCAGGCGGACCTCACGATCATCACAGTTCATGCCGACGGCCTGGTCAAGCTTGCCAAGGCTGAATGAAGAGGCGCTCTCGCACTGGGTCAGCAGCTGCGGCATCGACGGGACAGACTTTCAGGTGCAGGGCGAGGACGCGGCCCGCTACTTCACGATCCAGTTCACTGGCCTTCCTGGTCCTGCTGCTCGGCGCGTTTAGATGGCACTGGATGGACTCCGCAGCAAGAACGGCACGTGGACCCCCATCCACGCGCCGATGGCGTCGGGCAGGGGCCACGTCGAACTCCGAGTGGGCCCTGACAAGTCGCCGAAGCAGATCAAAGTCGAAATCGTTGGCAAATGCGTTCGTCAAGCGCTCCAACAAAAATGCCCGAACCACTTCTGGCGAGTTGATTGCGCCACAGCATTGGTCATGGCTGGCTGGCCACCTGTCCTACGGTGTGATGTCCAACCAGAACGCGACCCACTCACCATCGTCAAGCACCAAGACACGGCACCAAGACACGGGCTTCGCTGACCTCGAGCTCGCGCGGGAGGAGCTCGTGGAGGCAGTGGGCCTCGTTGTCGGGCCTGCTGAAGCTCCTGAGGTGTGGTTTTGACGAAATCGCCCAATGTACGCAGCGACCCGCAGTCGGCCCAACACCGAGTATTGCAGTTGGAACTTCGGATACGAAAGGTCTCCTTGGATATCGCGGCCGGCGCGCGGTTGAGACGACGAACTACCTCCGCCCCCCCCCCCCCGCTTGCCAAGATGACCATTGGCTTTCAAGAAGCACATATAGAACCATGCTCGGCTGCTGGCGCTCTCGAGGAAGATTGACAACTCGTCAAGCACGCGCTCTTATTTCGCTCAGGGCCTCCGCGGTCACGCCAGCGGAGGAGTCGCAACTATTCCCCCGCCCGGTCTGCGCGCGACGAGCGAGGAGCTTCTGCCGGGGAGAGCGCCGCGCGCGCTATTCCCCGCGGCCGGCCAGCAGCTGATAGTTTATACCATCCCAAACTATGAGATTGGCAAGCCTGCGACGCGAAGAGTTTCAGCACGCAGATTCATGGACCAGAACCGCGCGAAGGTCTCCCCTGACAAGATGGTCCTATTCGCGCTTGGGGATTTCAGTTTCGCGGCAGCTGGCAGGCTGGAGCCCGCCGAGCCAACGGCCCGATCGGCGACAGAGGCTAGCGAGACATCTGGGGCACCTGCGCGTAAATTGCACGCTGCGCTTCAAAATCTAGCGAAGACTACGCGCTACTGCTTCGACACCATGGCTGAGTCGACCATCGGCCGACGCTTCTGCTCGACCCCGCCCAGCCAGATGATCCAGCGAGTGGTCACATCTAGCACGTGTTCCACTCCTGCAGAGCTCCCCCGACAGCGAGTAAGCGACCACGCAGCCGCACTTAGTTCTCTCTGCATGAGGGATGAGAAACCGAAGAAGAACCAGCCGATCGCACCCTACATGTTCAAGCCCGCCGCCTTCAAGCAGATTGCTGAAGCCATCTTCGACAGCGAGGACCTGGATCGGCGCGCGCCACCTACTCGACCACTGAGGGTCACATCCCTGCTGAGAGAGATCGCGCGCGAAGCGCGCGACAATATTCAGGAGGAGAGCCCTGCTCGAGGCGAAGTTCTTTTCCAGCTCGCCAAGCTCGCCAAGTCCATTGCTCGCGCTGTCTGGCGGCGGGGCTCCGCGCTGGCTTCGCGACTGCTGCGTGCACATTCTATTGCCAAGGACTACGCATTCATGATGAATTGCAGGGCGGTGCTGATCGACCCCGCCGAATTCGAGGAGCGGGCCGGCAGCCTCTTTCGACGGGATGCTGACCGCCGACGGGAGGCGATCGAGCGCGCCCGTCACAGGGGTCGCCTTTACCCCATGCAAGCGCGCGTCCAGACTCGAGCTCTGCAAAGAAAGGTGAAACTCTGGAACCCGATCAGCAAGCCGCTGGCGTTCGCCGGTGTCATGACGAGCAAGGCCACAGAGCTGGGGGCCAACGAGCGGCTCGAGAAGCTCGCCGAGCACCGGCAACCTGTCTTCCGTGGCAAGCACGTGGACCTCGAGGCTTCGACCACCTAACTGACAGAGTTCGCGCCCAAGGTCGACTTCAGCCAGTTTGCCCCTCCCGACTACGAGGCGCTGCAGAGGTTCGCCGGGCGGACTCCGACCACCTCACCTGAACTGGATGGCCCCCCATACGCGGCACGGTCCTCGCACTGCAAGGCCACGGAGACGCCCTTGGAGGTCATGCGCTGGACGTCGGGGGGAGGCTTACTACCAGGTGAAACCAACACGACGGCCCAAACGTTCCTACCCAAAGGGGAAGCACCAGGCGATGCCGAACACCGCGGCTGCCACCGCGATTCATCCAAAGTCAGGGTCCTCGGTCTCAGGAACACGTCGCTGAAGATCATCCGCAGCACGATGAACGCCGCGATGGCCACGGTCGCAGCCCAGCGTGTCCCAGCATCGCAGAGGGGTCTAATCCACCAGCGAGGCTTCGGGCACAACGCCCTGGAGCTCGACGCGGAGAGCCGCGTCGCGTCGGCGGACCCCGACGCGTGGAGCAAGCTGCCCGTCCTCGAGTCGCTGGACATCGCCCCGGCGTTCCCCAGTTTCGCGCATCAGTTCATTCGTCCGGTGCTGCAGGCCACGGGTACACCGCCAGCGGCGCTGCTGTTTTGCGACGCGATGTACCGCAACATTATAGCCGTTGCACCACGTGTTGGTAAATACGTGCCGCTCTTCTACATCCGATCTGGCATCTCTGGCTGCGGCTGGAGCGGCATTCCTTATGCTACGGGGGCGGCCTGCTTCCTGCTCAACTTGGAAGAGGCACTGGGGCGCAAAGGCTACGGGCTCTGCCGCGCCTGCGCTGGCGACCTGGGGCTCGTCCTCGCGGCCATCGAGCACCTGCCCATCCTCGCTGGCGCGACGGCCCTCATGGAGGTCCTGGCGGGAATCGCGCTAATGCCTTCCAAGTGCCACATCATCCCCCTGGCAGGCGAAATTGATGAGAAGCTCGCACTGCGTCTCCGAGGCGCTGGCCGATGTAGCACCGCGCTTCCAGGAGGTCCACACATGCGATAGTCTGACCTTCCTGGGTGTCTCATGGGCCCAGGTGCCACAGAGCTGCTCATCCTCGAGAAGGCCTTTCACAAATTCCAGTAGAGGGCCTCGCAATTCAGCGCAAGTGGCGCCCCCACGATGGGCGCCGTCTCGGTCTCTCTCTCTCTCTCTCTCTCTCTCTCTCTCTCTCTCTCTCCCTATATATATATATGTGTATATATATATATATGTATATATGTCCTCTCTCTCTCTCTCTCCTCTCTCTCTCTCTTTCTTCTCTCTCTCTCTCTCTCTCTCTCTCTCTCTCTCTCTATCTCTCTCTCTCTCTCTCTCTCTCTCTCTCTCTCTATGTAGTTCTATATGTTTTATGTTGTCCTCTCTCTCTCTCTCTCTCTCTCTCTCTATTTATCTTCTCTCTCTTTCTCTCTCTCTCTCTCTCTCTCTCTCTTTCTCTTTCTCTATCTCTCTCTCTCTCTTTCTCTCTCTCTCTCTCTCTCTCTCTCTCTCTCTCTCTCTCTCTCTCTCTCTCTCTCTCTCTCTCTCTCTCTCTCTCTCTCTGCATTACCAGGGCACTGCCAGTTCTGCCCCTGGGACAATGCGCGAAGCTGCCAGACGAGCTCTTCAAACACGAAAGCTGGATCAACTCCTCAGTCCTGAGGTCCCCGAATGAATGCTTCAGGCTGCGGGGCTGGGCGCATTCGCCGCAGCGGGGCGCCCCTGCGCCGAGGCCCCATCGAGCTGGCGCCCTTCTCCACGATCGCCAGGGCGGCGACCTCGACACGACGTTCAAGCAGTTTTCGGGGATCCGCGAGCGTCTACACCAAGGGCTTGAGCAGCGCGGCGATGCCATGACGCTTGCAGGAGCTTATCGCGGCGAGCACCATTTCTCGCCATCGCGGCGGGAGATGGGCCCCTTCGTCGAGGCGCTGCACCAGGCGAAGACGGCTAACTCAACGCACCGCTACAACCCCAGGGAGCTCCTGCAGCCGGCGCTGGAGGCGGCTCAGACCGCGCTCGTGGCTGGCCACGCGGGGGCGGCCCAGAAGAATGCGCACCAGGCGGCGGCGATTGCCCGCAGTCCTGACACGATCGGTCCGTTCCTGGCCCAGAGGATTGCGATCGGGTTCCCAGAGCGCGACGACTTTCTCGCGCTGAACGTCGGCATCTTCGACGAGATCAAGAAGATGATGAAGAAGCTGCCGCCGTCGCGGGCGACCCCTTTCGCGGGCGCTCGTTCTTCTGGCTGACGCCCCACAGGGTCATCAATGAGATGGGGAAAAAATTGCAATTTCAAGTGCGAGGGCTGCAGCGACAGCCTCGCGCACGACCTCCAGTGCGAGCGCCCGGCTTGGGCGATTGCTCGCGCTTCTGGCACGGAAGTCCCCGTTCGCCCGCCGGCGCGGCCAGGCATCGTAGACGCGACGAACGAGGCTGTCGAGCAGATCTCCATCGGCTCGGCGGCCCATTTTCCCCTGCGGACGAAGGTCTCGGTGGGTGCCGTGGAGGCGGAGGCCGCTGCGAAGTCGGGGGCGCGCCCCTCGCGTTCCGCGCGCGCCCCGCCGCGCGAGCCGACCTCCCGCCCCAGCCCCGCTGGGCCACTGGAATCAACATACCTTCGAGGGAGCGCCTGCGAGCAGGGGCTGAGCTGGCGTCGGGCGCAGCGGCCGCGTCGGCCGCAGGGCGACCAGACTCGTGCCCCCACGCTCGGCTCCTCCTCCTCCTCCTCCTCCTCCCCTTCCTCCTCCTCCTCTTCCTCCTCCTCCTCCTCCTCCTCCTCCTCCTCCTCCTCCTGTTCCTCCTCCTCATCATCATCATCAGCATCATCATCATCATCCTCATCCTCATCCTCATCTTCATCCTCTTCCTCTCACTCACATGCTTGACGCTTCGCATGTCCCCACCAGCCCATCCAAAAACAGACACCAGGCGAGTTGCCCTCGGATGTGTAGCGTTCTGATGAGTGGTTGTTTGTCGTTGCCTGCGGTGCCTTATAACGTTGTGCGTGCCTGGGGGTTTGCCTTGGTATTGTGGTTGCTTGTCGCTGCTGTCGCTGCTCGCCGTGACTGCGTCGCTTGGAGCGCGCGAACACCGGGGACACGCGCGCTGGCCACCCAGCACGCAAGGAGCAACGACAGGCAACTGCTCAACTAAAGCAACCGCGGGAAACGCTGGACGACGACGACGGCGACGACGACATGAGTCGGGGAGGCCTGTTGGCCATGGTAAGGCCCTCTCGGGGTCATTGTGGAGACTCCTTGGTCCTCTCTTGGGGGCCCTCTCGGGGCTCTCTTGGGGTCCTCTTGACACTCTTGGAGGCCTGTGGAGGCCCTCGTGAGGCCATCTTGGAAGCCATCGATAAGAAACATAAATAAATATGTATATTTAATCAAACAAAAACTAGCAGTGACAATCTGCCTCCCCCGTCGAGACCCGAAAATGAGCCTCTTTGGGTCCTCCTTGGGCGATCTTGGGAGCTCTTGGGACTGCCTTGGGCCTCTCGCCCCTCATGGGGCCCTCTTGGGCCATCTTAGAGCCATCTAGAAACATCAGGAGCCCATCGGAAGCGACAAGGCAAGAAAGCAAAAAATCATAGGAAATAGCGGTGTTGAAGATTGTTGGCCTCCTGGGGGCCTCACTCACACTCAGGCTCCCTCACACTCAGACTCACTCACATTCATATTCATTTCCTGCCAGTTTAACCATACTCAGACTCATACGAACAATCCACTCACATGAACAGACATCTCACGATATGATGTTTTCAACGCGTGGCCCCCAGGGGCCCCAGGGGCCAGCTTTTCGCCCCGGATCCATGGTTTGCTAGCCCCAGGGCCCGATCATGGGCCACAGAGGGTCAAATTCCGGAAAAAGCGCTGCTTGAAAAGACCATGTCGTTTGAGATTCGGACTCATATCCGCTCACACTCGGACTCACTCGCGCTCAGACCCACTCACACTCGAACGGAGCTAGGACGAGGATAAATCCGTTCCAGAGCGTTCCTGAACGCTCTCAGAGCGTTCGAGAACCCTCTGAGAAGGCCGCGGCGCCCAAGACATCTTCCAGAGCCGCCGCATCTCAGAGATTCTTGATTGATCTTTACCCGGATTGATCCTCGTCCTGGCTTCGTCTGGCAGAGCCACTCGCAGTCAGGCCCACGCGTGCGGACTCAGGCATGCGCGGATGCCAGCCCAGCAGCGGGCCCGAGGCGGCCGACAGAGGGAGAGGAGGGAGGCGGCGCGAGGAGAGGTAGGGAGGCGGCGTGGGCCAGGACGGGGCGCGAAGACGGTCCGAGACCATGTGTTTCGTTTCCTTCCTTGTAACAAGGGCGCCGCGCGAAGTTATTCGCGCTTCGCGGTTCGGCTCCGATTCCCCCTCATCCTCCTCTCCTCCCCTGGGAGGCGGCGCGAGAGCGCGAAGTTAGTCGCATTTCGCGCTTCGCGCAGCGCGAAGCGCGAAGTTGGGAGCCCTCGTTTTAAAGGAAAATCAGAAGAGAAAAAACAAGAGTGGGAAATGGGAGATCAATAAACAGGGCCCCCAGACATGTGGCGAGAGACGTGACTTTTTCCGTGCGCGGCGCCAGGAGTCCCAACCCCTTCCCTGGGGGGGGGGGGGGAGCTTTTCGTCCTGGAAGTACATTTGATCGCCACGGGGCCTGGAAGCGGGCCCCCGAGGCACAAGTCGAGGAAGCACGCCAGGATTGAGAAAGCGGTAAGGATGCAAGGGCCTTGAAGGGCCACATTAACGTTTTTTGAACGAGGTTGGACAGCGAAAGCGGCCAAGGATAGACCGGGAAGGCAAGAATGCAAGGGTACCCTTGGGAAGGTTGCCCATCCTCACAATGAAGGTCTATTGCACCGTCGAAGGATCGTCTGGGAACGCTGTCTCTCCCCGCGATTGACAAACAGTCCGCCCGAGACCTGGGAGGCCGTGTCCACGTACGTCCGTCTGAAATGTCCTCTGCCTGCGTCCGCAGCCCCTGACCCAGACCGAGTGGAAAACTAACTTGCGATGGTCGCTCCCAGCCGCCTTCACGCTGCCAGGGCGAGAGGCGCGTGGGATTGTTGTCTCCGCCTATCGAGCCTGCAGGTGCTGGCCTTCGACGTCATCGACCCCCCCGGCGCTCCCGTCGAGGACGTCCAGGCCGAGGCCCCGGGGGGCGGGGCACATCGTGGGATGTCTGGGGCAGAACAACATGAAAGGGAGTTTGGCACTTTACTGATTTGGTTGCTCTCTCTCTCTCTCTCGTTTTGGGGCCTTTCTGGGAAGCCCGACGGTAACTGCAGCGGCGGCACGAGGAGGAGGAGAAGGAGGAGGAGGAGGAGGTGTTCTCCACCCTCTCCCCTTTGTCTGTTTGTCGGTTCTTCCTTCTCTTTTGCTATTTACCTCTTCACCAGCCAGGCAACTCCTGGAGCGGTGCTCCAGGAGTCGCTGGCTTTCCTTTGATCGACCCCCCGAGGGCTGACCGGCCTTGGGGGGGAGGCGGCGTCGGCACGACATTTGCGCCTTCGGGCACCAGGCACCAGGAGAAAAAAGAGGAGCAACGACGGCGAGAGACTGACCCAAGGGGGGAGGTATCGACCCTCAATCGCCCATTCAACGCCAATCGGGGCATGGACGCCCACCCCGCCTGGGAACGCTCGGTTTCGATACTGCCGATTCCACGTCAATGTTTCCTCCCCCCCCTTCTGAGCCAGTCCTCTAATACCGTGGCCCTCTGGATGCGAAAAAGCGAGACGGCACAAATGATTGAAATTCCCAAGATTTTTTTCTAGATGAGGCGATATTGGAGCAATTCCGATCCGTCTTGGACGCTCTATTTGGTTTGCTTCCATTCTCCAGACCCAGTGTAAGGGTAAGGGGTGGGGGTCGAGTTCCCACCTGGAAAGCGCAGCATGCTGTCTCGCTCACTCCCGTCAACCATCTTGACACGTGAACAGCACCGAGACTCAACATAGGCAGGTGTCGCCATTAGATGGACAGTCATTGGGGGCCTACAGACGCACGGTGCGCGACGCTGGCGAGGTACGCCACGCGTGCCAGGGACGCCATGTGCACCAGGTGCGCTAAGCGCCCCAGGGGCCCAAGCGTGCCAGGCGCGCCTGGTGTGCACCAAATGTGTCACTTGCTTCACGTGCGCGATGTGCGTCACGTGCTCCAGCCGCGCCAGGTGCACTTGGGTGCACTTGGGTGCACCAGTTCACGAGACAGCACATATCGGGCCATACGTCGATGCTCCACCGTCCGTGCCAAGCGCCAATGCAAAGTGGCGGCGGTGGTCATCATGGTACGATGTGCAGCGCATGCCCTCGCAGCCACCTTGCTGGTATCTGGTAGGGACTGCGGGCCACCGCCCCACACAAGATGTAAGAACCGCCCCATCAACCCTGTCGGAAGCCAGTGCGAAATTCTTGTTCGTAGCCCCGGACAACTTCTCTCGCCGCGTGCGCTCTTCGCTCGCGGCCGCGACCAAAAAAAAGTATCCCCACCAGCGACTGGTACCCCCTCTGGCTCAAGCTGTTCCCCGGGGTATTCCTCCCTGTGGGGTCAGGGCTCGAGCACGCCCCCGGCCAGGTGCGGGCCCGCCCGGCGCCGATGGAGTCTGCCGCGGCGAAACGCCAGCGGCAGCGGGCGGCCGCCTGGCTGGCTCGCGTCGCGGGCGCCGCCCGCCCTTCGGCCGCTCCTGGCGTGGCCGGCGCCGCTGGTGTTGGCGCCGCTGGCGCCGCCAGCGCTCCCCGCGCCGCGGGCGCCGCGGGCGCCACCGGCGCTGCCGGCGCTGCTGGCGCTGCTGGCGCCGCCGCGGCGACTCCGGGCCTGCCCGCCAGCGCGGCGGCTGCCGCGGCCGCCGCGGGCGCTGCCTCCGCCACTGCCGCTAGCGCCGCCGGCGCTTCTGGCGCCGCATGGGCCGCTGGCGCCGCCGGCTCTCCCGCGCTGCTGGCACCGCCTGCCCCCCGCGCCGCTGCCGCCACCTGCGCTGGCGCCGCGGCTGCCGCGGGCGCCGCTGGCGCTGGTGGCGCCGCCGGCGATCGCCTCAGGGCCTGCCCGCCAGCGCGGCGGCTGCCGCGGCCGCCGCGGGCGCTGCCTCCGCCCGGCCGCCGTGGCTCGGGCTGCCGCGCTGGGGCCCGCGGCCGCGTGCGCCGCTGCCGCCGCTGGCGCCGCCCGACCCGCGGCCGCTCCTGGCGTGGCCGGCGCCTCCGGTGCTGGCGCCGCTGGCGCCGCCAGCGCTCCCCGCGCCGCGGGCTGCAGCGGGCGCCTCTGGCGCTGCGCCGCTGGCGCCGCCGCGGCGCCTCCGGGCCTGCCCGCCAGCGCGGCGGTTGCCGCGGCCGCCGCGGGCGCTGCCTCCGCCGCTGCCGCCGGCTGCGCGGCTGGCGTCGCGGCCGCCGTGGCTCGGGCGGCCCCGCTAGGGCCCGCGGTCGCGCGCGCCGCTGCCGCCGCCGCTGCTGCCTCGGCCGCCAGCGCAGCCGCCGCTGCGGTGGCGGCCGCCGCGGCCCGCTGCTCCCCGACCGTACCTGGGCCTGAGCGGGCGCTAGAGCTGAGGGAGCTTGAGCGGGAGCTGGAGCAGAGGGCGGCGACAACCAGGACGCGCACGTCCCCCCTGCGCGCGCCTGGGCAGTCCGACTTCGGGGGTTCAGTGGGTGAGCCTGGCACAGACCTCCAGTATCATGAGACGTTCAGCCGCCTACTTGGAGATGGGCCACAGAGAACACATACGACGATCAGTTGCCTACCTGGAGATGATGCCCCCCCTCCCTCCTCCCCTCTTGTTTCACAGAGTACATTTGCGACGATCAGTCGCCTACCTGGAGATGAGTCACACAGGACACTTGCCGACGACGACGCCGACGCCGCGGACGCCGACGCCGACGACGACGACGACGACGACGACGACGCTGACGCCGACGCCGACGCCGATGGCCCGCTTACAGAGCAGGCGTTGGAGCAGAAGCTGGGGGCGCCAGACGAGCAGGAGAAGGTGACTACCCACCCGCGCACTTCCTCGACTGACCCCCCGCCCCGCGCGGCCGGTGCCTCGACAGAGACCTCGAGGACGTGCTGGGCCCCTGTGGCAGAGCCCCGCCACCCTTGCTGACTGACGCCGACGCCGACGCCGACGACCTGAGGACAGAGCAGGCGTTGGAACAGAAGCGGGGGGCGCCAGACGAGCAGGAGCAGGCGACCACCCATCCGCGCACCGACTCGACTGACCCTCCAGCCCGCGGCAGGGACGCGCGGGCGGATACGCCCCATCCTGACACCGCCCTCCCCTGCAACAGCGCGAGTCCCAGCGCCGAGGAGCGACGGCGCTGCGGCCAGCGTGCGCCGCTGTCGCGTTCGCCTGGAAGCGGCTGGACACCGGGCCTGGCCCCGAGCACCGGCGAGCCCCCAGCCCCATCGCCGCCCACGGGGCGGAACTTGGTGCCCGGCAACGTCGACAGCCTGGCGGGGCCCGACAGGCGGCAGACGACAGGCGGCGAGCACGGCGGCAGCAGTAGCAGCAGCGCTTGGAACCAGCGAGCCGCCGCGCCCGACGGGCACGGGAGGCGCGCCGCCCGCCGGCGGCCGGAACCCCTGGATCCCGACGCGGGAAAGCAGCTCTACAAAGTCAAGATCGAAGGCACGCTGCGGGACGCTGACGGGGATTATGCGACTAAGCGACTCCAAGTTATCCTGGAGGCGACGTTCACATGCGCCTGGCACGCGCTCGTCCAAAGCACGCCCCGCCCAGCACCAGAGCAGCACCCGACCCGCTCCAGCGCGACCAGCACACGCGCGACAGTTCCTTGGACTCCCTCCGCCACCACAAAGGGAACGCGCGGTCCACGGACGACGCGCTGCACCTCGGGTTTGAGTGGAAAGCTGCGCGAGCGGTACGTGCGGCGAGGCGATGGCACGGGCAAGGAATGCGATGCTCGCCGCGGAGACAGGCGCCCTTGGCCCAGGCTGGCAACCGCGCTCCAGGACGGCCACGAAACCTGGGAAAGGAGCGTTCCCGGGCCTAGCATCACAGCTGGGGGGGGGCCCTGGAGGGTCAGTTCCTGGTCTGGCTGGCACCGCCCCGCCGTCGCAGCAGCGCTCCCACGGCGGCGCCGCCCCTCTTGGACCCGCTTCACAGCTCGCAACCGCCCCGCGGGCAGCCCAACATGGGTTGCCGCTGGTTGCGCTGCAGCTCCCTGCCGACGACAGGTGGCCCCTCTCCCTGCTCAGCGCGCGCAGTCAGTCTGCCCGTGCTCGCCCCCGCCCGGGGGCCTCTGACCTGCCCGCTGAGAGCGCGGAGCGGCCGCAGCCCGGCCAACTACCGCTTCCTCCTCGCATAGCAGCTCGTCACCGCAGCTGTCGCTGCCCGACTACGGATTCTACTATTTGGGGACCTGGGGGCCGTTTGTCTCCTCGGCGTTCGCTTGGCGCGTCTTCCTCGCGTTGCCCACGCCGGTCTCTCTGCGTCGTTCACGCTGTTCCTTCGGGATTGCCTGTTTGTTTTGATGTCTGCATGGCCGTAGGGGTTCATGGACTTCGAGTTCGACATGCTTACCTGGAGAGTATGGTACTGAGCGCCAGTAGTATTTCTCTTTCCTGGTTGCCGCACGGTTGCTGTGAGCTCGTGGCTGCCGTATCCTTCAAGGACACCTTCTTCGGCAAGTGCGTCCTGGGGAGCCCGCGTTGCTGACTTCTCATGCGCATGGTCGTCATCCCCCTTCTTGGACACCGTCTTCGACATGTGCGCCCTGGGGTGGTCTACTGCCGACTTTCTATGCGCGTGGTCACTTGTTTTTTTTTTCTCTCTCTCTCTCTCTCTCTCTCTCTCTCTCACACCATTTGCGTCCTAATTGGCACTTCAGAGGGCGTGACCTCGGTGCTGGTCTGCGATGCCTCCCGCGCCATTTTGGCCGCGGTATGCCCAGTTCCGCTCTGAGCTAGGCACCTCCGTTTCGCTCTTGTTTCCTTTGCTTCGGCGTGGCCCGCCCTTGCACTAGCTTGCACGGCGTTCGACTCGTCTTCGCGCGCCCGCGTACCAAAAGTATCCCCACCAGCCCGTCCAGAAACGATTGCCAGGCGAGTTGCCCGAGTGAGGGAAGTGTAGCAGCACGCAGTAGAAGGGCTGCCTAGGAAGCTTGCGCGGCTTCTTTTGGGCGTTACCGGGAGTTTAAAGGGGGGTTCCGGAGCCACCTTGGAAAACATTTGTCAAAGAAGGGAAAAATCGCAATCAGCATTGCCCCATCGAGAATGCCTCAAGTCGCCTTTTGGTGCGCTTTTGGAGCGCTATTGGGCGCTTTGGGGGCCGGCATGGAGACTGATTGTGCCCCCCAGGGAACCGTCCTGAGGCCTCGGAAGGCCGTCGGAAGCGAAAAGGCGAGAAAGCAAAAAAACATGATTCCCCCAGGTGTTCGAAGATTGTTGGCCTCTTGGCGGCCTCTTTGGGGGGCTCCGTGGCCATCTGGAGCCGTCTTGGAGCGTTCTTGGGGTCTCTTGGAGCATGTTGGGAGCCATCTGGAGGCATCTTGGGCTATCTTGAGCCATCTTAGAGGTCATCTTGGGCTTTCTGGGGCGCTCGTGTAGCCGTCTGGGGCCATCTTGGACGCTCCAACCCCCTCGCGGAACACCCCGTCCAAGTCCAGGGGAGGGTAAAAGGGGAGAGGTGGACCCCTCCCCGAACGGGAGGAAGGGAGTTGGAAGAGAAAGCTCCCTAGACAACCTACGCCCAGAGGGCCGATGGGATTATGAATGTCCGCGAAGAGGTGGGACAACCAATCAGAGGACATCCAGAAGCAGCTCCAGCCTCAGGCACCACACGCGGTCCACCCGTCGTCCCGGCAGCCGCCTGGTTTGGCCGACTGCGGAGGCAGGGGAGATTGCGAGAAGTTCGTGACCCTTGGCACCAGCAGGCAGGCAGGCTCGAGAGCTCCCGCAGTCAGGCAGGCGGCGACATCGAGAAGGACAGGCTGCAGGACAGCCCGACGATGCCCGAAGATCGACTGTGATGCTTTTGTGGCGGAAGACGACCACAAGAGAATGGCCAGCGGCAGCGGAGGCTCGCAGCCTGGAGTACATGTAGGTCTTCTCCAGAGTGCGCCAGTGGCATCAGGTTGCCGTCATCGTTAGTGATCAGCGTAGGAGCGGGAGATCTCGATCACGGAGGCGCTCGAGCGCCGGGAGGCAGCCGCCACGAAGCCCCCAGCGCAGGGGGCACGCCAGCGCTGCCGCGACAGCCTGAGGAGAGGCGTGGCCCACGCGATGGCCGCGCAGACGCTGTTCGCACGCCTCTGCCCTCGGTGGGGGGCGGTGTGAGGCTCGAGCAGCTTCTGGCGAGCAGTTTTCGCGTCACTGAGTCCAGCGCGGCTGGAGCGAGCCGCATTCGCCTGTCCGATTTCCCCCTCTCCTCCCCTCCCTGCCTGGATGTTTAGTGCCACTTTGTCCAGCCCGCCCGGAGCGTGTCGCACTTGCGTGTCCGATGTCCCCCTCTCCTCCACTCCCCTTCTCACCCCCTCTCCTCCTCCCCTCCTCTCCTCCTCGTGCTGGCGGGGCGAGGCGTTCGGCCTCTTGGTGCGGCTACGGTGCCGGAGCATTGGCGCCGTCCCGTCAGCGCCGGTCGTGCGTTGAAGCCCGCAGGTCGCGCCAGCTTCGGGACGGCCGGCCACGCTCTCCCAACTAAGACGTTTCAGAACGTCTTTGTAGTTATATGTTCATCGTGCACTCCAAGTGCACTCGATCTGCTACCCCCCGTATATCGTAGTTTTTGTTGGTCGTACACAGCCCGCAAGGAGGCTTTACGCTTGCATTGTATGCTACCGGCCTGAATGCTAGACATGTTGTTTCGGCACCATGTTTTCTGTATCCTCTTCTTACCTTCTCTTATTTCTCCTCGGCTTAGTTTGTTTGTGTGCCCGTTCTGGTGGCATGATTGTCCCCACGGAAAGCATTTTGCCCGACACAGGGGGGTTGTGCCCAACGGGGTCGATGCATGCATTGTGGCATGCGCTCGTGGAGCGAGCATAATCCATCTCCTAATTCATCTCCTTCGCATCTCACGCTGACGACTGGAACGGCTGTCGGGTGATTGCACTCTGCTCTGTAGGCTTCGTGTCCCCCCCCCAAAAAAAAAAACAAAACTGAAAATATCAGTGAGGAGGAGGAGGAGGAAGAGGAAGAAGACCAGGAACAGGATGAGGAATAATCCAGGAAGGAGGCGGGAGACGAGGAGGAGGAGGAGGAGGAATCCAGGAAGCAGGAGGTAGACGAGGAAGAGGAAAGGAGAATTCCACGAATCCTCAACCGTTTTAGCCCTGAGTTGGTTTTTGACGGTCCTGGGTCCGGGAAACGACTTAAAAAGGCCAACAACATCAAAAAACCAGCCATCGCGATTTGTTTTCTCTCGTCGCCCAGATCTGAGGGTCGGTTCCAACTGCATGCGTACGTGGCTCCCCAGAGGTCTGGACCCCTTCCACAGGGTCAGCCTTTCGCCCCGAGACGTTTGTGTTTGCGGTCCCGGGGCCCGATTAAGGGACCCAGAGGCCGAGAATTGCAGAAGATCTCCGCGATTCTCTCGCAACCCAGACATCCGACGAGGTGATCTTTACGATGCGCGGCACCAGAGGTCCCGACCCCTTCCCCGAGGGTAGGCGTTTCGCCCCAGATTCATCTTTGGTGGCCCCAGGGCCCGACAACACAGGGTCCATCTCGATTGGATACCGATGTCGGCCCGCCCGATACGATTCGATTCCGATATTCCGACGATCCGATGCGGCCCGATGCTTGCATGCCACTGTTGCGCATCATGGCGCAGCCGATCCAACGCACATTTCGATTCAAGTTGAATTTCCGATGCGATGCCGATTGATCCTGCAACGGGCCCCAAAGCGAGGAAAAGCCAGCGGTTGCGAAATTCATGTCAGGGATTTGGGAGCGCGAGGAGGCTTGAGTGCGCTGCCGGCCCCTCGGCGTCCACGCCGGCGCGAGGAGGTCTGGGATCCGTGCTTCAAGATTCGGTCCCCAGACCTCTCCTGGCGTGCATTCGGTCCAGAAGTTCAAGGCGAACCCAACCGTGACGACGAGGAGGCCCAGAGGAGGCCACGAGCGTTCCTCGAACCCCGAGCCTCGCACCAGCCATGCGATGTTTCGATGTGTTCAATACAGGGTCCCAGGAAGTCCCGACCCTTCCCCCAGGACCAGTTTTTCATCCCGAGTCGTTTTTTGACGGTCTCGGGCCCAGCGAAGGCCGCCAGAGGGCGAAAATTGAGAAAGTTTGTCGGTCGCGGCTTTTTCATGACCCGCGGAGGCCCTCAGGGAACGCGCCTCGATCCTCGAGCCTCGGGCATCTGCCAGGTCCACACCTTTGCGGCCAGCGGTTTTGGCGCGAATTCGTATCTACAGGCCCGTGCTATCTCTTCCCTCCTCGTTCTCTTCCTCCCCTCCTCCCTCCTGCTTCTGATCCTTCTTCTTCTCCGTGGCTGGTGCTTCGAATGGTGGAGTCCCCTTTCCCTCAGTGGGGAAGCTGGCATTTTCCATCATCAGCGCATTGGTGTCAGGGGAAGAATCGGCATCGAGCGAGGGGGTAAAGTGAGAAGGAGAAGGCCTTCTCAGAAGGCGGCGGGGCTTCTCAGATGGCCTCGGGCCTACTGAGAGGTTCTCTGTGTCTACGGGGAATGCTCAGAAAAGTTCTCGGAAGGCCTGGGGACTTCCGAGCCTTCTGATAAGGCCCGCCCCCTTCTCACTTCCCCCCCTAGGCTCGCCGCCGAAAGAAAGCGGCCAGGTGCATACCGGCCTGAAGTGGCGGGCGGTGGACCAGAGCAGCGTCCAGTTGCCCCCCGTGAGGGCCGACTCGCTCCGCGGCGCGCCCGTGGGCAGCCGGACCGGGCGGGTCACCGTCGGCGAGCTCCCCCCAGGCGCAGACGACGACGACGACGACGACGACGACGACGACAACGACGACGAAAGGGCAACGTTTGGGGGGAGGATAGGCCTGGGGGGTGGCGAAGTTTCAAGGTTCGAGGTTATCGGACATGTTCGATGGTTCTCGTCGGGTTGGCCGGGTTGCGCACAGACAGCTGCAACCCGAAGCCTTACCATTCGAGGTTTTCGGACGTTTCCTCCAGCTCTCGTCGGCTTTCCAGCCGCGGGGTGCCTTCCAGCGGCTGCGCCTCGCCCAGAGCATTCTAGGAGTGCCCAGATCGTCCCGAACGGCCGTGGCAGAGCCGAGTTATGACACACGAAAGCCACGGAGCAACGACACCAGATCTTCGATGACATGATTTTCTAAACCCACGTTTTTTCCTCGATGTGGGCTCCCAGGGCCCATCATCGGGCTCCGCGGCCATCAAAAATAAATCCGGAGCGAGAAATTGGCCCTCGAAGAGGCGTCGGAACCTATAACGCCGCGCATTGAAAGATTCATCATTCGACGTCTAGGATCGTCAGGGATAGCGTCGGGGGAGGAATAGGCTCCAGAGGGTACGCATCGAACCCCAATCGCCCACTCATCGCAGATAGGGGCCCGATAACTCACCCCGCCCAGCAACGTGGGGTTCTGCTATCAGAGGCTCATCGCCAATCCATCGGCGATGTACCACCGATTCAAGCTCGATGCTTCCCTCGGCGGCGAGTATTGGGGGGGAAGTGAGAAGGGCAGGCCTTCTCAGACGGCTCGGAAGTCCCCCGGCCTTCCGAGAAGTGCTCTGAGCCTTCCCCGAAGACGCAGGGAACTTCTCAGAAGGCGCGAGGGCTCCTGAGAAGTCCCGCCGCCTTCCGAGAAGACCTTTTCCTTCTCACTCCCCCCCCCCCGCTCGGAGCCAGGAGGTGTCCACGGCCCCCGCTCTGTCACTGCGTGCCCCCCTCTGCCAGGGCAGGGACGGCGTCCGCGCCGCGCGGCGAGCGGCGCCTCGGAGCGGAACCCTTCTCTGCGGATGCCTGTAGCATGCGATCGTCGCGACGGCGACGTGGAACCCTCGCCGCCGATTCCCCCCCCCCGGGCCAGTCCCCGCCCTGTCGCTGCCCCTGGGGATCGGAGGAGGGCAGGTCAGAGGCGACGGCGGCCCGCCCTGGCGGTCTTCGTCCTCGCCTGGGCCTCTTGGAACACTCTTCGTCGCCTCGGAAGAGCAGGAGGAGGAGGAGGAAGAAGAAAAGGAGCACGAGGAGGAGCACGAGGAGGAGCACGAGGAGGAGGAGGAAGAGGAGGAGGAGGAGGAGGAGGAGGAGGGTAGGTTCGTGCGGCGATGGCGCGGCGGCGACGCCAGCGAAGGCGTTCAAGGCTGAATTCTGCGACTCGGAAGCACCGATGGACAGTGCAACGCCATTGGATCCGACGGAATTCAACCTCGAACGATTGGGGCAGCGATCGATTCAAGGTTGAACGATCGACGCGGTGTCAAAGACTTTTGCGCGCGCCGACGCCACACGAACCTACCGTTGGATGGCCCTTGGGAGGGGTTCGGGGGCCGATTTTGAACAGATTTGGACCAATTGGACCAAGCGGGAGAGCCGCCGTTGTCTCACTCGGCCCTCCAAGACGAAGACGACCACGACCACCACGACCACGCCACCTCGACGACCACGACCACGACCGCGACCATGGCCCCTTAGGTCCGCGCGTTGCGCATTTTGCACGCCTGTTTTCGCCGGGTTTGCGGGCCCTGGGGCCTTCACGGATCAATCTGGCTAGAGAGAGGCCGAACAGAGATGGGGTCTTGGATTGTTGCATTTTCCCGATGTTGCATTTGTTCTCGTGACGTGGGACCTCAGGGACAACGACGACACAAACGGGGACGACCACGACCACGAACGACGGCGGCGGCGACGGCGACGATTGCGGCGACGACATCCCCTCGCCAGGCGTCGACTCCGTGGTGCGCCTGTGGGCCAAGAGTGCCGCGGGGGTCCTGGGGAAGCCAAAAAACCCGATACCGCTACTCCGTGGACCTCTCCCAGGATGCGTTCTGACTCGAATTTCGAATTCAACTGCGGCCGTGCCCTGAGATCTGACGTTGCGAAAAAGTTGCACCACCGCGAGAAAATGCACGACCAGCGCCTTCGACCCCATCTTTCTGCTGCATCGCTCGATCTGTGATGGTCCCAGGGCCCGAAACCGGGCGAAAACGCCTGGTGTGGAAAAATTGCAACGCCCAGATCTCAGGTTGGCGACGAGAGTGGACGGGGCTAGGACGAGGATAAATCCGCTCCAGAGCGTTACGGAAAGCTCTCAGAGCGTTCCGGAACGCTTTGAGAAGGCCGCGGCGCCCGAGCCATCCTCCAGAGCCGCCAGATCTCAGAGATTCTCGATTATCCTCACCCGAGTTTATCCTCATCCTGGTTTCGTCTTGCGAGGGCTTTCCAGGACGAGCAACGACATCGGTGCCCGCTCCTCCGAGGTCAGCGCCGCGCCCTCGGAGCCCGTGCACTGCACCCCCTCCTGCAGGCCGCCGCCACCAGAGGCGATGCGGTGCACCGCGCGCCGGAAGAACTCCTTGGAGGTGAGCGACGCAAAAAAATCGGCAGCCAGCGAGGGGCGGAAGTGAGAAGGAGAAGGCCTTCTCAGAAGGCGGCGGAACTTCTCAGGAGTCATCGCGCCTTCCAAGAGGTTCTCTGCGTCTTCGGGCAAGGCTTAGAAAACTTCTCGGAAGGCTGGCAGACTTCCGAGCCTGTTGAGAAGGCCCGCCCCTTTTCACTTCCCCATTTAGACTCGCCGCCGAAAAAATGGGGTCGTCCTCAGATCTTCGAGGTATAGAACAAATCGAAGAAAAACAAGATCGGCGTCTGGGGGCACTCGCACGGCCCTGGGACAGTCGAAAAACGATCTGGAATAAAACGCCAAGCCCCAGGAAGTGGTCCAGACCTCTGGCTATATAGGAACACGTCGGAGGTTTGGATCTGCCTGCACCTACATTGACGCGCAAACTTTTCGCAACGGGCGGTTTTGCCCTGTTTCGGGCCGTGGGACCGTCACGGATCGATCTGGCTTGGGAAATGATGCAGAAATGTGGGGTGTAGGGCTCCTTTCATGAATTGTGCTAGGTTTCAATGTCGGAGTCGGATCTCGGGGTCGTTTGCACTGACATTGGCGCGTAAGCTTCCCGCATAAAATCGCGCATAAGCGCCCTCGTTCCCAATGTAGCGTGTTGACGGCCCGCGTAGGCCGAGGGGAGGTGCAAGTGTGTTCGCGGGTCGGTCGGTTCGGCTTCCTCGCAGTCGGTTGCGTTCGGTCGGTTCACTTCGGTCGGTTCTTGTGTCGTTGCCACGACGCTGTGCCCTTCTACAGGCTGCTTGTGGCCTATCGATGTTGGTCGGCTTCGATCTCGCCGTTGGCACGATCGGTTTTCGAGTTTGCTGTCGCCGTGGGCGGCCTCGAGGTGGAGTGGCGGACGCGTGACGCGGAGGGCGCTCCCGTGACGGACTGCATCGTGGAGCATTGCAAGGCCGGCGACGTGTTCGCGGTCTGGCACGAGGTCCCGAAGGCCGACGTCCGACGGGTCTCCGGCAAGCCGAATTCGGCCAGTTGGAGCGCGCGCCTGGAGGGCCTGGACGCCGAGACGCGCTACCTGGTGCGCGTGGCGGCGGGGAACAAGGTCGGCTGGTCCGAGGACGTGCACAGGCCCGTCGAGTGCCAGACGGCGGTCCGCCCGCCCGCCCCGTGCGCCATCCGCTGCGCCAGCTACGCCCTGACGGAGGTGACGCTGGAGTTCGACGTGCCCATGGAGCGCGCCCAGGCAGCGGGCGTGGAGGCCGTGAGCGCGATAAGGGTGGAGCGCTCTGGCATGCTGCAGTGGATCCCGGCGCCCGAGGCCACCGTCGCGTTCGCAGCGCCGTCCGCGGAGGCTTGGTGGCCGTCGTCCCAGGAGGGCCATGGCGGCCCTGGCGTCGCTCGGTGCTGCGCCACGGTCTCCGAGCTCACCCCAGGGACCTGGTACACGTTCCGTGTCTGGGTTGGCAACGAGATCGGCTGGAGCAGGGACATCCCGCCCACGGTCGAGTGCCACACCGCCCTGCTGCCCGAGGCGCCAGTGCGGCTACAGGCCCGCGCCTGCGGCCTGCACTCGCTGCAGACGCAGTGGCACGCCGTCGGCACGCAGGGCGCCCCGCTCATCGACTGCGAGGTGCAGCTGCGCGAGGACTCGGTGCTCACCAGCTGGGACTGGCAGCCTGCGCGTGGCGGCGAGACGCTGCGGCGGCGCGGTGGGCGCAGCAGCACACGCTGGGGCCAGCTGTGCGACGGGCTGCGGCCAGCGACGGCATACGTGCTGCGCGTGCGGGCGAGCAACGCCGTGGGCTGGTCAGGCTGGTCGGCCGAGGCGACCGCCAGGACGCCGTCTGCGCCGTGCATCACCGTATGCACGGCGCGGCCCACGGACCGCGAGGTGGAGGTGGAGGTCAGGGTCCCAGACCCAGAAGGTGCGCCGGTGAGAGCATGCCTGGTCTCCTGCGCCGTCAGCGGGCGGAAGGCGCTGGGGCTCCGAGCAGGCAAGGGCTCCTGGTCCGCGAGGCTGCCGGCGCTCGCAGACACGGGCTCGCAGTTGCGGGGCCTGTCGGCCTGCGCCATGAACGCCGCGGGCTGCAGCCTCAAGGCAGAGCCAGGCCCCGTGCCCGTCTTCACCGGCCTGGAGGCTGGCGGCCCGGCGGAGCAGAGCTCCGCAGTCCGCTGCTGCGTGGCCGCCCTCCTCGAGGACGAGCTCGCCAGGCAGCGGGCCGCTCACAGCGACCTCGAGGCGCTGGTGCAGGCCGCGGACGCGGCCGACGACGCGCCGCGCGGGGAGGCGTTGCGAAGGCGCCTGGCGGTGCTGGAGGCGGCGGCGCGCACCGCGCGCCAACTGCGAGGGCGGATAGAGCCCGCGCAGCCCGAGGAGGGGCAGGGCTTCGGCAGCTGGGCGGACAGGTGCAGGGCGGTGCTGAAGGCGGGTGGCACGGCCGACCCTGGGGCCTGGGCGGCCGCGGACGAGCTGTCCCAGGCGGAAAGGCTGCTGGAGGGCTTCGAGCTGCTGGCAGAGGGCGGGGTGTGGCTCGAGCAGCTCGGGCGGCACCTGCTAGAGCCGCTGTGGGGGCGCATCTGCGGACACGCGGAGGCCTCGCCGAAGTCGGCCCGGGTCTTCCAGATGTGGGCGAGGCAGCGGCAGGATTGGTCGCAGCGCTTCGACCGGCAGCTCCTGAACCTGTGGCAGGACGCGCTGCAGACCGCCCTGCAGCTGCTCTCCGCCGTGGCCTCTGGTGGCGACGCCCGCGCCGCGGCCGAGAACCTGCGGCGGGACGCCTCGGCCCTGCTGTCGATGAGGGAGGCCTGCGACGAGCAGCTTCGGAAGCTGCGGTCCGCCGTGGAGCGGCTGGAGCAGGTTACGGCCGACGGCAGCGCCGCGCAGAGCTTCGACGAAGTCACGGTGCTCGACAAGATCTCCCAGACCGCCCTGAGCGTGCTCCTGAGCGCGGTAATGCCCGTCCCTGGCTCGCTCGAGCTGGGCGTGGTGTCCATCGGCGCGCTCTGGCTCGAGGACGATGCCGCTGGGCGCCACGTCGCCGTGGAGCACTCGAAGGACTCCGGCGCCGAGGGGCCGCTGCAACGCTTCGGGCAGCGCCCAGGGGCCCGGGCCGCGGCGCTCTTGCAGGAGTGGGCCGCGGGCGGCCACGGCGACTCGGTGCTGGTGCACAACGCCACAGCCCGCCGCGTCACCGTGAAGCTCTTGGACAGGGAAGAGGGGATGGCCGCGCGGACGTACTCCAAGATGCAGCGGGCCCACCCGATGGTGCGCGTGGTCTCGAAGGCGATCTCGGGCTTCGTCGGCGACGAGGCTCGGCTGCACGCAAGAGTGGCCCTTCGCCGGAGCGACCTCATGTGCGCGGCTTCCGTGGGGTATGGGGGCGGCCAAACCCAGCCACGCTCCCCGAGATCCAACGTCACGATTAGCTGCAACGCCGTGAGCAATAACAACCAGGGCCATCGACCCCATCGTCCTGCGGCATCTCTCGAGCCAGATCGGCCCGCGTGAACAGGAAAGTGCAACGCCCTGACCTCACGGCAGCCCGCCGTAGTGCCGCATGGCATGCAGTGATCGGCAGGCCGCGCACCCGAAGCCCACCCTTTCCAGAATTCCCACGTCTTGCTTCTTCACGGCCTCCTCCTCCTCCTCCTCCTCCTCCTCCTCCTCCTCCTCCTCCTCGACGTCGACCTCCACCGGTTTCAGGCGAGAGCCCCCAGAAGTCGAAAACGGCCCAAAGCCTCCCGTCGCTGATTTTCCACGACGAGCAGAGATGGGGGCCTGCCCGAGGGCCACGCCTCGCGCGCACATGTCCGTTAGGATGGAATTCCTGAGAGGTTAATATTTATCATCGGCGCCAGCGCATACACTGCCAAAAACTGGCCGAATCTGGCATCAGCTGAATCATCCCGTGTCCGTATGGTTCAATTCCAGGCTGAATCTGGTTCAATACCGCTACATGAGCCTTTGATTGGGCTGAACAGCCCATTCTCGTTTTTGCGAAGACCTTTTCCAGGAGTCGCCTCCTGACATACGGCGGGGGGCGTTGGTTCAGAGGAACCTGCTCGACGAGTCACCCGAGGCGGAGCAGCGGGCCAAACGGACCGCGGCCCCAGGCAGCCGTCTTGCGCTCGGCGGGCCTCGCTCTCGGCAAGGCAGAAGGCAGGGCTCAAGGCAAAGAGAAGGCCCTGCAGGAAGCTGAGTCCGGCCTGGCCGAGGCGACGCTCCACCCCCACCAGGCCCACCCAGCGTGCGGCTGACTGCCAGCAGGCGGCAGCAGCGAGGAGGCCCTTTCGGTTGGCAGGCTCCTCCGCCAGATCGAGCTAACCCCACGGCGACAGTTGAGGCCCTGTCGCAGCAGGCGGCAACCATCCGTGAGCGCGGGCCGTTCCGACCACCAGCGCGTGGCGTGGGCCGACAGCTGTCCTATTGAAGGTGGGGACCCCGACGACGACAACGACGACGACGACAGCGACGTGGAGCTCCTGTCGCCCGCAGAGGGTTGCAGCCTCGGGGCCCAGCCAGCGGTTTCTCGCCCTATCCCTGGCAGCCTGCCGCCGACCGCGGCCAAGGGGAGCGCCGCAATCCCTTGGCCCTGACCAGGCCCCGAGCACGCGCGCGGGCTGGCCAACGCGGGCGCTGCCATCACCGAGAACGTGCCCGTGGTGGAAAGTGTCGGTGCTGCCAACCCTGCTGACGGGCCAATTCGGGGGTAGCCACACAGCCAACCGCAGCTATCGGGAGGTGGCCCGTGAATCAGTACCGACGCCCTACCAGGGTCGACGTCGCTGGTTGGAGGCCCCATAGTGGTGGAAGACACAAACGCTACGGCGACATTGAGGGGCCCCTGGTTGTGGCGGAAGCGGCAGTAGCGCCGCCATGAGGGAGGCAGCTGCGGGCGAGGTCTCGGTCAAGGAGTTAGTTGCTCGTCACCAGGAGCCCGAACCTGGGCGACTACGTCACGAGGTGGTCAAGGGGGGAGGTGGAACCTGGCACAGGCCTCGCGGTGTGATCGGGGCAGACTGTCGCAGCGAGCCCCGCGACCATTCCGTGGGAGGGCGTCGTGGTCTCGGGCAAGGACCACTTGCACGAGAAGCAGGTGATCACGCTCGCCGGGTGCCTCCCACCCCCGACATCGGGGGCGCGGCTCGGCCAGCATCGCGACGCTGAGCGGCACCGCGTGGGCCGAGGAGCAGACCGCCATCGAAGGCTTGCTAGACGCGGGGGCCAAGGATGACGCGTTCCTGCTGCAGGAGACCCGTTTAACATCGCAGCAGGCGGAGGACTCGGCGGGGGGGAGGGGGGCCCGCAATGGGCTTCATGCGGCCTGGAGCCCCTGCCGTAGGACAGGCTCGGCAGCCCACGCGGCGTCGTCCGGCGCGGCCATCCTCACGGCGAAGCACCGAGGTGTCAGCGTGGTGGGCCAGGGGTCGCGGGAGGAGTGGCCTTCGGCGCCTTGGTCGGCGTCGTGGCCAGCGCCTACCTGGGGCATTCGTCGGGGCTGCGAGGGTGCCACGTCAACTTGCTCGGTGACTTGCAGCTGTTCCTCGTGCTCTCTCGGGGCCCATCATGATCGGCGCGGACTGGAACGCGAAGCCCCACCTCCTTGAGAGCTCCCCGTGGCCCATAGCGGTCGGAGGGGCAGCGGTCGCCCACGCGCCCCCACATACGGCGAGCGCACGCATGAATACTTTGCGATGCCTACGTCGCTGGCTGCCCCGTGCCCGCAAGTGGAGGCGCTGCGATATACTGAGACCCACCCGCGCGCGCCGGCACGCCCTGGGCCCGACCAGCTCGGCCCCCGGGCGAGAACGCGGGCACTTCAGTCACCTAGAAGGTTTGGCGTCAACGCCGAGGTCGACGACGAAGCCAAGCAGGCAGCAGACGAGGTGGCTCAAGGAGTGCGGCGACAAGCTCCGCTTCTAGACGCCGCGGGCCTCCCCGATGAGGCGGCGCGCGAGTTCCACGAGGTTGCGGGGCCGCACTTGGCTGAGATGTTCGGCGTCGAGGAGCAAGATTTCGAGCGGTGCGTCGGCCGAGCGAAGCGGGCCAGGCGGGCCTGCGAGCGCCTGGTCGACTTGGAGCAGGCAGAGACCGCGAGGAGGGCCAGCCCGCCCACCCGCTCGCGGATCGCGCAGCAGTTGGCGACCGCGTCGACGGCGGGCTGCAGGACGGCAGGCCGCTGAGCATACGCCCGGCACCTGGGGCGCGCCGCCCCCACCCTCGCGCCGCAGGTTGCCCCGCGGGGGCGCAGCATGTTCAGCGGCGCGCGCGCGAGCAACATACTGACAGAGGCGCAGACGGACCCGCGGCAGGGCCCGCGGCTCCAGGAAGCAGTTGCGGCGACGACGGCAACCAATGTCAAGGCGGGCGCGGCGCGCTGCAGGGAGCGATGGAAGGAGCTCGTCGACGAGGCCCTGGCCAGGGGAGGACGCGGGGCCCACGCTGTCGTCCAGAAGGTCACCGAGAGGAGGCACCCACCCACGGCGAGCGCCTGGCAGGTGGGCTGCCTGCGCCGCCGGTCGGGCAGCAGGCGCTGGATCGCATCTCGGTTGAATGGAAGGCTCTGTGGAGCAGACCTGGGCATGCTCAGACGGTGCGACCCGCTGACTGGCAATCTTCGATCGATTGCCAGCGATCACGGCTGACGAGGTCCTCGACGTTGCGAAGTCGCGCTCCGCGAGCGCCGACCTCGGCTGAGTCGCCTCCCACCCGCGACTCCTCGCGCACGTCGACCGCCCGTTCCCTGAGCGCCTAACCGAAGTCCTCGCGGCGTGGGAGCACCGCCCGAGGCCTTCAGATCTTCGCGCCATTATCATTTTCTCTGCCTGATGGCGGGCGACGGCGGATTGGGCCGACGCGCACGCAGCCGCGCGCCCGGGGCCGTATCCGGAGACGCTAGGGTGCCAAATCGGAAGCCGATCATGCGATACCCGATGTCTGGGGCCAAATTTCCGACACCCGCGGTGACCACGCGGCCGACTTGCGCGTGCTCAACTTCGGGCTGTCGCGGCCCACTGGCTTCGCGGCGCCTCCGTCTACTTCGGCATAGGCAAGTTCAGGCAAGCCACAGAGGCACCGGGATCCAACTCCGGGCTGGCGCGAGCGCAGCGCGCGGCCCCTTCGGGCCCGAGGCGCGCCACTGCCGGCAAGGCAATGAGCGAGGTCATCTCTGAGCACGAGACCATCATTGCGGGCCGCGCTTGTGCCACCACCATGGCTAGGTCGATGCTGCACGACCTCTTGCTCCAGGGGCGTGCCCTGCTAGCTGTCGGGAGGGCGGTGAACATGATCGGTGACGTCGCGCGGCGCGGCATCGGGCCCCGCGGGGCGCTGGTTCGCCAGTGGCCAAGTTCGTGGACACGGTGGTCGCCATGCTGGAGGACAGGAAGCCCCCGCCCAACTGGAGCAAGACCAAGGGCGCTGGTGTCGTCTGCCGAGCACCAGAGGGCCTTGCTCGACCACCCGCAGCGGACCCCCCCCCCCCCGGGCGACATCTTTTGCATCGGGCCACCGCGACATCGGAAGTCAGGCCGCACCGGGGGGCGCCGCAGGCAGGGTGGCTACTCAGGTCACCAGAGAGCTCGACGCGCCGAGGCAGGCAGCGCGGCTTACCAGAGCATTCGGGACTGGTCTACGCCAGCCGCACATCATGCGAGCGGGCTCCACGGCCAAGGCACCCTAGGGTCGGCCACGTCTGGCATTCCCCCTGGAAGGATGAGGGCCCCCGAACCACTGCGACGAATTGTGCTGGGCGACCTGGCACCTGGAGCAGCGCTCAGCTTCAGCCTGCAGCGCGCGGCGAGAAGCTGGAGACAAGACTCCCTGGCGGCGGCCGCAGGGATGGCAGCGCAGGCATATGTCAGCGCGCGCTGGTCGGGCCAAGCCTCCCCCGCAGCAATCGCGACATGCTTGTTGGAGAGCGGCCGCCTCGGCAGCTGCTTGCAGCCCTGGTCTGCAGTCAGAGACGCGTCGGACGGCGCCTGACAGCCAACGGAGAGCCTCTCGGGCGAGATCGGCCGCGAGTTCGAGGTCCTGAAGTTATCCCCCGATTTCTTGGCCGAGAGAGCTCGCGAAGCCATCGCGATGGCGGCTTCGCTGGGCGAGATTCGCGAGCGACCTGGGCCCCCCTGGCCGATCGGCGAGCTCCTCCTGCGGCCGAAGACGGAGGTCTGGACGGAGCACCTTTGCGGCTGCCTCCGCTGGTTGGTCACGCTCTCGCATTGGCCCAGGCGAGGTTGGCCAAGCACAAAGCCGACACCAAGCCGAAGAACTCGCTGTGCGGCGAGGAAGACGGCACGGTCTTCCACGGGCGCTACCGCTGCCCAGCGCGGGAGCCCCGGCGGCGCGACAAGCTGCCTCGCGATCTGCGGATGGCTGCCGAGACCGTCCGCAGGATGGGACAGCCTTTCCTCGAGCTCTTTGGGATCGGGCGACGCGCGGACATGGTGCCATTGCTGCATAGGCGGCGGCGGCAGCCTCAGTGGGAGCGGCGTCGCTGCTGGGACGGTGCGCTGGCGGTTCCCGAGGGCGCCTTTGTCTTCGCCGACGGCTCGTGCATCCACACCGACTTCCCGCAGTTGGGGCGCGCAGGGTAGGCGGCGGTCGCCACGGCGCCGACCGGCGAGTTCATCGCCGAGGCCCGGGGCGCCGCGCCCCCAGATCTGCCGCCCCCCCAAACGGCGCGGGCCGGGGAAGACTATGCGGCGGCCGTTGGCCCCCGCGAAGATCATCCGCAACGCACCACATGACGATCGAGTACTCATGCTGGAGGGCTGCTTGGCCAGGGCCAGAGAAGTTGCCGGGTTCGCGGCGGAAAAGGAGTTCGGGGCACATCACCGACTCCGACGCGAAGGACGCCTAGCTTGCGGCAGCTGCGGCAGCTGCGGCAGCGACGTGCGCGACGGGAGACAGCGCTGTGAGTGAGCCCCTTTTCTGCAGGACCCGATCGGAGGATTGCCCGCAAGCGTCCTGCGGCGGCCGTCCCCGTGCCCAGCCCCGAGAGATCCATGCTACTGTCTAGGCGAATTGCCATCCCCAGTTTGTCCGCCTCCTGCACAGCTGCGGCAAGTGACTTCCCCTGCGGGGCCGAGGCGTTTGACGGGCCCTGGGCAGTCCAAGGGCATCTTCTCATGCAAGCGAATGTGCGCGGGCAGGCTTCCGAGGTCTTGCTGGCATGCAAACAGCAGCTCAGTGTTCTGGTGCCTCCGTCAGTCCAGACACGCGCGCAGTGGGCGAGCGCCCTCGGTGTCACGACAAGCCCCCAGTCCAGTCGGCTGGCGGCCACCCCTGGCGCTCAGGAGGCAGTCGGTTCACCTCTCCCGACCCGCCCGCGACCCTCGGCGAGCGCGACAGGGCATCAGGCCCTCATCCTTCCAGGGGTGGACGGTGTTTGGGCGTCTCATGGCTTCGCCTCGCCAGCAGAGGCGATCGAGCGAGGCCGCTTGGAGGTCCAGGCCAGGGCCGTGAGGGCGGCCAGAGCGGCACGGGCGGGAGAGGACCCGTGATTTTCTGTCTTGGCTGGGATGTGGCGACCCGCCTTGTTTGCCATGGCCACCTGTGTGCGCGTTGACAGGCGGGGTTCTGGCGACCCGCCGATATTGCCAGGGCCACAATCCTTCGATGCACGCAAGTCTACGGACGCGGAGAGAGAAAAATGCCTTCGCCGTGGATCCCCAGAGGTCTGGATCCTTTCCCAGGGACTGGTTTTCCATCCTCGGACGTTGGTTCACGGTCCCGAGGCCCAATGGGTTGATCCGGAAGCCAAAGAACATGGAAACAAATCCGTCGTGATTTTTGTCACGACACCAGGGAGTTTGAGCAATTGGGCTTCATAGCCCGGAGTCGTGCTTACAAAGACCTCCCAGGAGTTGCCTCCTACCACATCCAGTGCACTCGGGTTTCTCTCCCCCCTGCCCCGTCTGCCCCGTATGCTCAGCCCTCCTTGCCCAAGGTCGGCGCAGACGAGACCGACAGGGAATGGGGGAGCCCCGTCTCCCCCCGACACATGCGGCGCGTACCCTTTTGCGGCCAAGCGGAGGGGAATGCCGCCAAACAGCCAACCCGAGGACGGAGGGAGCACGAGGCCCAACAAGTGGCCCAGCACTCATCGACCAGGGGCCCAACCCGAGGCGAGGTTCAGAGCATGAGTTTGCCGAATTATTGCAGGAAGGCGTGCGCTGTGTTCCCAGTTTGTCCAGCGATCTTTGATTCGCGATGTGGTTAAGTCACCCGTGGTGGTTTGCTGACAAAACAAGGTCAAAGCGCATAGGAAGGATGAGCAAGTTCCCAAGAATACCCGCGCATCCTTGCCTATTCGGCCCATCCTTGGCAACTTCCACTGGCCAGCACCGCTCGAAAAAATGCAAACATGGCCTTCTAAGGCCTTTGCATCCTTACCGCGCATCCTTATTAAGTCGCCGCGCCGTTTGCTCCGACGCGCGGCCCTCCGTCTTTGAGAGAGCGGACGCCTCGGACGCCTCGGACGCAGGGTTTGCCGTTGGTTTGCCGCGGTACTGGCGTTGTCTCTTTGGGGCACAGGGCGCAGGGCTTGCCGTGGGAGTGCCGTGGTGTCGGCGGCGTCCACTTGGGCGCGTCGAGAACAAACGGCGCGGCGACACATCCCACAGAGGCCACGGCCGCCGCGCTCCTGCTCGAGGTGGCGCCCGCCGACGTCGAGGCGCTGCGGCTGCCCAGCGTCGAGGAACCAAAGACGGCATAAACAGAAACTTTTCGGCGCTCCGTGCGGATTTCTCGCATCGGCGATAGGGCCCCTCTCGGCAGCGGGCCAGGACGAGGATTAATCCGTTCCAGAGCGGTCCGGAACGCTCTCAGAGCGTTCCAGGACGCTCTGAGAAGGCCGCGGCGCCCGATACATCCTCCAGAGCCGCCAGATCTCAGAGTTTCTCGATTTATGCTCACCCGAATTTGTCCTCGCCCTGGCATCGTCTTACTCCTCGCGGCGCGCTCCGAGCGCCAGGGACCAGCGCCGATCCGCGAAATCCGCGCGGGCCGTCGAAAGAGTCTGTTTATGTGATATGTTGCTTGAGAGGCTCCCGACCGAGACCCCCTCGCGTCGTGACAAAAATCACGATGGGAGGTTTTTGGCGTTTTCGGCCGACGGGGGCCCTGACCGGGCCTTGGGAGCGTCAAAGAATTATTCATAATAACAAACCGGTACCAGGGACTTGGCGATTGGAGAAACCATATCGTCGGAGGTTTGGGGGGAGGAGGAGGAGGAGGAGGAGGAGGAGGAGGAGGAGGAGGAGGAGGAGAGGAGGAGGAGGAGGAGGAGGGGGAGGGGGAGGAGGAGGAGAGGAGGAGGAGGAGGAGGAGGAGGAGGAGGAGGAGGAGGAGGAGGAGAGGAAAGAGAAAGAGAAAGAGAAAGAGAAAGAGAAAGAGAAAGAGAATGAGGAGGAGGAGGAGGAGGAGGAGGAGGAGGAGGAGGAAGGGCAGAAAGGGCAGGAGGAGGAGGACGGGAAATGGGTCCAGACCTCTGGGGGTCAGCGTGACGAATCAGTCACAGCGTCGGGGGCCTGGGGACGGCGAGGGGCCTGGCGGCGGCGGGGCCCCCGCTGGCGACGGCGCAGGCGCGGGGCGCCCTGGCGGCTGCGAGGTCCCTGGGGGGAGGAGCGCAAAGCGTCGGAGGCTCCCAGGAGAGCGTCGCGCTTGACATGCGAGGCGTTCCAGAAACGGCCTCGACTTCGAGGATCGCAGTCGGTGGCGGCCAAGATGGGGGCGATGATGAACTGGGGGGGTGGGAGACAGTCAAGACGCTGAAACATGATTCGGGCTCAGGAGGGGCCACGGTTTTCGGGCCGCTCAGATCTAGGTCGGGGAACGTACTCGAAGCCGAGGCTCGCCGTGACCAGAAAAGCCCCTTCGTTCCTTACTTGGCGTTCCTTCGGGAAGGCCCGGCGGTTGGTTTGGGAAGACCCGGCGGTCTGGTTCCGCAACATCTGGTTTGGGAAGACCTTTTTGGTTTGGGAAAGCCTTGCCTCGGGAGGGAACCCCCTCTTGGGGGAGCCGCCGCGCCCGTGTCGCGCCCCGACCCTGTCCACAGGGCTGGCGCCTCGTCCCGGGCCGCTTCTGCACTCCCAGGGCCCGACGAGGGCCCCTGGAGGCAGAAGCCGGCCGAGAACCTCCCGCCGTGGCTCTTGCTCACGACCCTGAGATCCGACGTAGCGAAGAAATTGCAACATCGTAAAAGATCTCGCCCGGAGCCCTAGACCCCATCTTCCTGCGCCATTTTTCGAGCCGGATCGATCCGCGAGGGTCCCGGGGCTTGAAAAAAGGCGAAAACGCCCGGCCCCCAAAAATTGAAACGCCAGGATCTCAGGGGACAGCATGTCTGGAGAGGGAGCCCTCTTGGGGTAGCCGCTGTGCCCGTGCTCCGTGCCGCCCTCGCGGCGGCGGCGGCGGCGGCCGGCGCCGCCAGAGGTCGGGGCCGCCGCGGGGGGCGAGGCGAGCCCGCAGGCGTTCGACCTCGAGTTCGCCTACGGCGCGGCCGGGCAGACGGAGCGGGGGCCGGGGCAGGGTCCAATCGACGACGAGTATCCAGACATGCTCGCGTCGCGAAAAGATCGCGACGGGAAGTGTTTGGCCGTATTCGGCCTCCGGGGGGCCTCGCCCGCCAAAAAACGATTAAGGATGAAAAATTGGTCCCGGGGAAAGGGTCGGGACTTCCAGGGACCATGTGTTCAAAAAATCAGGACATCGCTTGTCTGCGTAAGAGCGACCCTAGGCTAGAGTGACCTTTGGTGTGCGGCTTCAGGGTTGCACGTGGGGACCCAACGCAACCGCGCAAGGCGCTGCTGTCGCACCGCATCAGCGATCGGCGGGACGTGCCTCGAAAGATGCTTCGCGCAAGCGTGCAATGGCGGAATTCCGCCAATTCGATTCGAACGCGCCCCGGCCCCGCGGAATTCCGCGGGGCCAGGGTAGGGTCCAAGTTTTCGATCCGACTGTATCGTAAAGGTTTTCGGACGTCATCGTCGGTTCTCGGCGGCTTCCCAGCCTCGGGATGCGTTCCAGCAGCCGCGCCTCGCCGAGAAGCGTCCGGGGGGTACCATGGAGCGTCCCGCGCGGCCACCGGAGAGCCGAGCCATGACCCGAAGGCCAGGCACGACCCCAGATCGCCGACGACATTGTTTGTTTAACCCGCGGGGTTCCTCGACGTGGGCCTGCGGGGCCAGCTGGGCGACGCAAAAAAACAGGGTCTTCTGCGCCGACATTGGCGCGCAAGGTCGCGCGTAAGCGCCCTCGTCTCCAAAGTAGCTTGCCGCGCCGGCGGCCCGCGTAGGCTGCAGCGCAAGGTCGCTAGGTCATCTCGCGCAAGTCTGTCGGGCCCCAGTGCCACCAACAGTGGCCCTGGGGCGGAGAGCGGGCCCTGGGGAACAAGGGTCGAAAGCCCTGGGGCCGCGGATTGGAAGAGGCAGATCGGCGATGCGCCGTGGAGCACGCCAGCCCTTGCTCTCTGCTCTGCGGGGGCAGCGGCACGCCGACCGCTTCGCAAGTTACATCGTGTCCGGCGGGGCCATACGGTCAGCCCGCCTAGAGTAAGGATGCGCGACTTTCCAAGGTTGTCCTTGCATCCTTCCCCTTCGGCCCATCCTCGGCCACTTTCGCTGGCCACGCCCCACTCGCAAAGTGTCGACATGGCCTTCCAAGGCCCTTGCATCCTTCTCGCGAATCCTTATTATACGGGTTGACTGTAGGGAGGGCGGGGAGGGGCGGACCCAAGTGTTCGACCCGAGCCGATGCAAGTGCGATGCCGATTTCTCGGCGGGCCAGATCCAGCTCGACTCGGCTGCGCGCACGGACCTCTCAGCCCCACCGACACGCTTGTCGACTACACGTAAAGACTGGCCCTTGGCCAGGGCGACCTTTGGTGCGGGCCCATTGGGGTACCCCGATCGCGAAACGCGATGCGGTAGCAACGTCTTGTGCTCTTGGGTTTGGCCCATCCGCGCCCCTTCTAAAGCCGCGCGCCAACGGTCACTCTTGCCTGGGGTCACTCTTGCGTGCAGCCGACTTTGCCGCCTTGGAAAATCAGGACGGCCAGCCACTCCAAGCGTAGGCCTCCGGGGAGGACCGCCGGGAAGCTGGCACCCACAGGAAGAACTGCCAGCGGAGCGCGGGATCCGTGCGAATGCCAGGGTCGAGAGCTTTGGAGCCCCACACGCGCCGAAGAGACCAGGAGGTCGAAGGTCTGGATCCCCTGGGGCGTTAGAGCCTGCTGTCGCAATTTGTTCGCGCCCGGCGATCTCGCCCTGCTTCGGGCCCTGGGGCCTTCGCAGATCGATCCGGCTCGGAAATTCCCGCAGAGAGATGAGGTCTAGGATTCTCGCGGACATGATTTTCGTCGATGCGTGAATGCTTCCTCGACGGCGGAACTCGGGGTCCCCAGGGGAGGGGCCCAGGAGTCGGCAGTCGGGCGCTTTCCCGTGCACGCCGGCAGCGCCATCAGCTTCGTCTGCCTCAACCGCGAGGTGCTGATCAACAACGTGGACGCGGCCACCGGGGCCGATGCTCCGCAAGGCTCCGGGCGGCGGCGAACTCGGCTGGACTGCGGTGGAGCCAGCGACGCGTACAGACGAGACGCTGAAATAAGGGCCAGGTTGGGCGGAGGAGACGCTCTGATTCTCGGGCCGTTTTCCAGATCTAGGTCAGGGAACCTGTTCGTGGCCGCGGCTCGCCTTGACCGAACAAAACAACCCTGCGTTCCTTGATTTGGTGCTCCGTATGGAGGCGCGATGACCGCAGGAGTGGCCCTGCGCCAGAGGGGCCTTTCCAGCACACTAGCAGATTAGCTCCGATGCCCCCCCCCGCACATTAGCTCTGATGCCGCGCGCCGAACCGTGAGGTCCAACGTGCGACGGAAAAGTGCAACGTCTTTTAAAAAGCAACTGGAGCGTTCCAGAAAGGGCCTTGCGAAGGCGGCGGAAGGTCGGCAGAAGGCGGCGGAAGTAAAACGGGGGCGGCACCGCTGGCGGAAGCCGGCGGAAGGCTGGCGGAGGCCAGCGGAAGCAAAAGTCGGCCTCCTAAGAGATGACAGCATTTTGGGTTCGGGGTTTCCGGAACTCGCCAGCTGGAGCCCTCCACCCCATCGTTCTGCGGTGTCTCGCGATCCGTGAAAATTTCGGTGCCCCACAACGGGGCGAGAAGACGCCTGGAGTTAAGAAAGTGCGGCACCCAGATCTGTCGCTTTTCCAGGAGCGGAGTACCACATGGGGCATGGCCAGGCCCTCAGTAACTCCTCGGGTCTCCTCGTCTTTCAGTACGTCCCCTGCCCCCCCTTCGCGCGCGCACAAGCCTCGTAGCATAATGCGCACCCAGACATCCGCCGATATTATTTGTTCAACGCGCGGCCCCAGAGGTCCCAATCCTTTCCCCAGTGCCAGTTCTTCGCCCAAGATCCGTTTTGGATGGTGACGGACCATGGAGACCCAGGCCGAGGAAGAGCCGCCAGATCAACAACAACAACAACAACAACAACAACCACAATCATGTTAAGCCTGTCTGCTCTTATTTGCTCGCGCGTACCTCACCACGAATGTCCCAAAACCCCGATACCCGCCCTCTTCGTCTTCGATCGTATCCCAGCTGGGGGGTACATTTTCCTGACCTGCCACGTGCACTGGGCGCAGCCCCTAAAAGAGCAAGAGGAGTGAGAAAGGAGAGAGAGAGAGAGAGAGAGACAGAGAGAGCGACAGAAAGATAGAGGGAGAGAGACAGAGAGGAGATAGAGAGAGAGAGAGAGAAAGAAAGCAAGGAGGAAAGGAGTGGGGGAAGGGAGAGAGGCAAGGGACAAGAGGGAGGGAGCAGAACTGCGGACGAAAGAGATTAGAAGGTGGGGGGCTTAAGAGAGGATCCGGAAAACTGCAGACCCGGATGGTTGGGTCGAGCAACGGTCCCCAACGGGCGGGTCGGGCGGGCGGGGCCTGCAGACCCGTGGGTGGACCCTAACGGGCGGGTCGGGCGTGCGGGACGTGAAAGCACCTGGCGAGCTTCCAAGCGAGCCGCTGGGCCTGCCGTCACAGGCAAGTCAGGCGGGCGGCCCTAACGGGCGGGTCCGGCGGGCGGATCAAAGCGTGAGTCCTGAATGAATTGTGGGGAAGTCTCAGGCGAGAGCGTGCGGGTACATCTTCATTATTTGTCACGTGTAGTTGGCGCGGCGCAGCCCTTAAAACAGGGAAAGAGGGGAGACAGGAACGCAGAGAGAGAGAGAGAGAGCGAGAGTGAAAGATATTTGGAGGACAAGGATGAAGCACGAATGGGATTGACAGGAGGCCGGCTAAGAGCAGGAAAACAAGCGGTTGAACCAGACGGAAAAGCGGCGGTGGGCGGACCCCGACTGTCGGATCGGGCGGGCGTACCAGGACCACGAAAGGCAGCGAGCGGGGCCAGAGGGGCAGCAGTGGGGCCATGCGGGGCGCGAGCGAGCAGGGACCAAGGAGGGCATGCGCGGGGCAACGAAGGGCAGCGAGGGGCCACTGAGGGCAGCAATGGGGCCGCAATGGGCAGCGATGGGGGCCACTGAGGGCAGCGAGGGGGCCACAAAAGGCAACGACGGGACCACTGAGGGGCTTGACGGGGCCACAATGGGCAGCAAGGGAGCCACGAAGGGCTACGCTGGGGCCGCGAAGGGCAGCAACGGGGCCACTGAGGGCGCAATCGACGGGAGGCCACGAAGGGCATGTATGGGGCCACGAAGGGCAGCGTCTGGGCCACTGAGGGCAGCAGCGGGGCCACAATGGGCGGCGGGGAGGGCACACGGAGCTACGCTGGGGCCACGAAGGGCAACAATGGGGCCACTGAGGGCGCAGGCGACTGGAGGCCACGAATGGCGCATATAGGGCCACAAAGGGCAGCGAGGGGGCCACAATGGGCAGCGGGGGGGGGGGCACACGGGGCTACACTGGGGCCGCGAAGGGCAGCAATGGGGCCACTGAGGGCGAGGCAACAAAGGGCAGCGAGGGGGCCACAATGGGCAGCGGGGGGGGAGCCACACGGGGCTACAATGGGTCCACGAAGGGCAGCCATGGGACCACTAGGGCACGAGCGACTGGAGGCCACGAAGGGCGTATATTGGGCCACAAAGGGCAGCGAGGGGGCCACAATGGGCAGCGAAGGGAGGGGCACACGGGGCTACACTGGGGCCACGAAGGGTAGCTAGGGGGCCACTGAGGGCGCAAGCGACGGGGGGCCACGAAGGGCGTATATATGGGCCACAAATGGCAGCGAGGGGGCCAATGACGGCAGCAGCGGGGCCACGAAAGGCAGCCATGGGGCCACTGAGGGCACGAGCGAGCAGGGGCCACGAAGGGCGTATACATGGGTCTCCAAGGGCAGCAACGGGGCCACAACGGGCAGCGATGGGGCCACAGAGGGCAGCAAGGGGGCCACGAAGGGCTACGCCGGGGCCACGAAGAGCAGCAACGGGGCCACTGAGGGCGCAAGCGACGGGGGGCCACGAAAGGCAGCGTCTGGGCCACAGGGGGCGGCAGCGGGGCCACAATGGACAGCGGGGGGGGGGCACAAGGGGCTACGCTGGGGCCACGAAGGGCAGCAATGGGGCCACTGAGGGCACGAGCGACTGGGGACCAGTAAGGACGAATATATAGGCCACACATTGGGCTGCGTCTGGGCCACTGAGCGCAGCGCCTGGGCCACGGAGGGCAGCGTCTGGGCCACTGAGGGCAGCGAGGGGGCCACATTGGACAGGGGGAGCCACACGGGGCTACAATGGGTCCACGAAGGGCAGCCATGGGACCACTAAGGGCACGAGCGACTGGAGGCCACGAAGGGCGTATATTGGGCCACAAAAGGCAGCGAGGGGGCCAATGAGGGCAGCAGCGGGGCCACGAAAGGCAACAATGTGGCCACTAAGGGCACGAGCGAGCGGGGGCCACGAAGGGCGAATAGATGGGCCACACAGGGCAGCTAGGGGGCCACTGAGGGCAGCGGGGGGGAGGCACACGGGGCTACACTTGGGCCACGAAGGGCGTATAAATATATATGGGCCACAAAGGGCAGCGAGGGGGCCGCTGAGGGCAGCAGCGGGGCCACGAAGGGCAGCAATGGGGCCACTGAGGGCACGAGCGACTGAGGGAAAGGGCGTATGCATGGTCCACCAAGAGCAGCGAGGGGCCACTGAGGGCAGCATCGGGGACACGAAGGGCAGCGACTGGCCACAAGCGGAGGGCCCACGAAGGGCAGGAATGAGGCACAAAGGGCGCGAGCGAGCATGGGGCACGAAGGGCACGACCCTGACGGACGGGCCGAGCGGGCGGATGGATCGTGAGTTCTGCGTGATTAGCCGGGAAATTTGCAACGAGAGAGCGATTCCTAAGTATATTTGGGGAAGTCCCCAGCGAACGCGCGATCTTTGAATGGCAAGAGCGCGGCGCCTAAGTAAATTGCAAGGAAGTCTCAGGCGGGAGCGCGATTCTTGAGTAAATTGCAAGGAAGTCTCAAGCGGGAGCGGGGGCCAGAGTACATTTCGAGGAAGTATCAAGCGGGATCCGCTGTTGTTGTAAAACGAGGGCCAGGGGCACAGTTGAGGAGGAAGACTTTCCGTTATAGAAAACACGGTGCGAGCGCCGGGAGGGGCACTTCAATTGAAAAATATAATGTGCACCGGAGGGGCGGGATCAACAATAGTGATTCTTCAATATTGAGAGTTCAATAACATCAACAAACACAACAATCATGTCATGATTGTTCGCTCTTATCTGCTCGAGTGTCCGTCTACATATATTTCCCAAACCTTCGATACTCGCCCTCCTCGCCTTCGATCGTACCCCCTTGGGGGGCATATATTTCTTCCCTGCAGGCCGGGCCCCAGCAAACGGCGGGACGGCCGCGGACTGTCGGCGCGGCCAGCTGCAACGCTGACCAGTGGCAACCCGACCCCAAGAGGGACGGACAGGGGACCGACGACGACGACGACGACGAGCGAAAGTGAGAGCGAGAGCGAGAACGAGAGCGACAGCGGGGCCACGAAGATTAGGAAGGGGGCCACGATGGGCGACAGCGGGGCCACGACGGGCATGCGTATGGGGCCACGAAATGCGCGAATGAGCTGGGGCCACGAAGGGCAGATCATGCGGGGCCACAGTGGGCAACGACGGGGCCACGAGGGGTAGCAACGGGGCCATGTAGGGCAGCGAGGGGGCCACAAAAGGCGACAGCGGGGCCACGAAGGGCATGTATATGGGGCCACGACGGGCGCAAACAAGCGGGGGCCACGAAGGGCATACGCACATTGGGCCGCAGAGGGCAAGGACGGCAGCAACGGGGCCACTCAGGGCAGCGAGGGGGCCCCGAAGGGCGACCGCGGGGTCACGAAGCGCATGCATATGGGGCCACGACGGGCGCGAACAAGCGGGGGCCACGAAGGGCATACATAAACGGTGCCACGACGGGAAGCGAGGGGGCCACGAATGGCTGCAACGGGGCCACGAAGGGCAGCGAGGGGGCCACGAAGGGTTCCAACGGGACCACGAAGGGCAGCGATGGGGCCACGAAGGGCTGCA